CGTCAGATTTTATCGACCTACTTCCGCGTCGAATGTGGCACTGCGATATTGTACGCACAATAAATCTTTTGATCAATATGTTCCTTTAAAGATAGACGAGAATTAAAAGTAATAATTTAGCCCGTTCAATAATCTGAAATGTACCCAAATCCGGTTATTTTTGCTTTGTACAATTATTAATTTTCACATTCGCAAACAAAATCCAAATGGCATGTATTTATCTGCACTCTCCGACAAAATTATAAGCCCCTAATTTTTTTTAACATAAATTAATTCTAGTGAACACAATTTTGCAAAATATAGTTTGTTATTGCATATTTTAACCTTCCATTTTTTTTAAAACTTCGTTTAGGTAGATAAAAAGTATTTCTTTATGCACTTTTGTCTAATATTGCCTTACTTTTTTTAAGATGCAATTTTTGAGTGCATCTATAGGATTGAACTGCTTCCTTTGTGTTTGAATTGCTCAAGAACCTCTTCCCAACAGTTACAATACCCATTTATGTATTTAGTAGTCATTACTGACCATATTAATTATTTTAATTAATTATACTTTTCGTCTGTGCATTTCATATGTCCATGAGTGGAATAGCACTAGTTTTAGCAATAGCTCCCGTGACTTAGTATAGTCGATAAAAAGTATAGTTACATTAATTTTGAGATCAGGTGACCCATTTGGTCAGGGTAAAACTGAAGAAATTTTGCAAGTTTTCTTGTTTTAAGATGACCTCGCTTTTTTCAACTCTTAAAAATCTCTGTTCGTTTTGGCTGAACAAATTTTCAGTAGTACCCTATTGCATCACCACTTCCACATATTTGAATTTTTGCTTTAAAATATTTTTTCTTTGCATAAGTCATTCAAAAATTAAAAATCATCACACCCAAGTGAGGTTCCCTGAGGAAGCCATATTCATGTTGTAGAATAAGTAATTTTATGAAAATCATTTATGCTTCCGGTAAATGAGAAAAAATCAATAAGATTTGCTTAATATATGTGTCAAATTGTGTTTACATAAAAAAATAACTGTCATGTTTTTAAGATAAATATCAGTCTTGCATTCTCTGTTTGAACATTCAACATAATAGATGAGGTTTTCAATGTGTTGCAATGTCAACAGACACAAACTTATAAATTATGCCATTACTAGAGCTGAAATTTGTCGAAGACCGTACATATAAATATTTGATTGGCCCAAGTATGAACCCCCTGAGCTACTCCGTGTGACATTGCTACACATGCTGTGTGACATTGTACAGGTGCTATCATTGATTCTTACTTAAATCAACAAGATATGCTCAATGTTGTGTCATATGTAAAAATTACATTTAATATGAAAACAATTTTTGATAAAGCTTTATCAAAAGCTGGGTGAAGATCAATGAATATATTCATGTACCATAACCTCAAAAGCTTTAACTGTATGCAATGTGATCAGATCAAAATCCACATTAAAGATTTATTCTTATTTTCTCTTTCCATTTATATTTCTGATGAAGCAAACAGTACCCTGGTTGGGGAAAAACCTGGTCAGTTCATTTTTGTCATTTTCGCTCAAAATGATGAGCAAACGCATCATTGGCTCTTCTTTTATCGGTAGTGAATATAGATGCCAATTTATAATGTGGTCATTACCAATCATTTTTGTCTGCCTGTGCTCACTAAGCTGATCTTTCAGATGCGTTTCGACATATTTCCTCACCAGAAGAACCAACCCAGCAACAACAGGCAGATCAAAATGATCAACAACAGCTAAATTACTAGTTCATCACTGTGCAGACAACATGGAGGAAATGATCACAGTCACATTCACAATCACAATCAATTGATAGATATAACTATAGTTATAATGATACTGCAATTTGTATCAGATAATAATATTGGGAACAAAGAAACAATGATTCTATTCTTTCATAGTAGTAACCCAATATTCAAAACCATCATTTATTTGTTTTTTAATAATAAATGAACATAACGCATAACAAAAAAATTATTTTTCCTTCACCACTGTGTGATCATTAATAACCATCAGATTGATGCAAGGGAGAGAATAGCTTACTCATGGAATGAACCAAATGCTGACAACACAATCAATTCTGAGTTTGTCCAGATGTTGCTTACAAGAATATCCAAATACCTATTTTTCCAGGACATTATCCCTTGGATTTTTAATAATTGAAGAATATATTCTTTTGTAATGTACTTCCATTTCAGGTTAAAAAGATATGTTTTTGACTTGACTAGAACTTTTATTGTTTATAGATGTTGGATAAAATGTATGTTTACAAAAAAACTTAATCGTTCATTGAACAGCTGCAAGTGACATCTAAGTTCTTAAACTTACTTGATCTGTATCATGTCACTTTCTGCAAACATTAACAATTCTAAAGTCCCTAAAACAAACTTTTTTTGAATCTCTTCATAATTTGCTTTACCACAAATATTTCTATTTGTTATATCTTTGTTCCTATTTCATATTATTTAGGCTGTATAGATATTATTAGGCTCCTCTTTATCATTTTTGTTACTTTACGCAGTTTTAAAACTCCTATTTCCCTGATGTTATTTCTTTATTAGGTACATTTTTACATATTTGACATACATATTTTCGTTGGATAACACAAATCACTTTAGTAACAGGTTAACAAATTGTAATTGTAAAATATTTTTCCCAATGATTCAAGCTATAAAAAGTTATAAATGTAAGATTATTAACATTCATTAACCTCAAAGAAATTAAAAGGTTAAAAAAATTAGTGAAATGTTCTGGCATTAAATTTCTGCAGAGTTCATGGCTTTTTAATTTATTATAGTATGAAAAATGTATTGCAAATGTAGTTGGACTTTAAGCATTCCTATATGACTCCCTTAAGTTAGGTACATTTGTGTATAGTTTCAACTTTTTCGCACTGACTAACCACCTAAGAGAGGTGAAGCTGAAAATCATTGAGATTAAGATCAGGATAAACAGAGATAATCACCTATCAATAAACCTCAAAACAGTTGGTAAATTTATGTCATGCGCTTGAAGGTATTTTTCCATAAGTGTTTGGTCTGAGATCAGCATGATTGAAGTTGATCAAACTCTTTGAACTCATTGTCTTCAAAACAGTACCCCAACACTCTTTACCACTGAACCACCAATGTTTTACCATTGTGTAATAATCCTTTAGCTTGAACATCTGTTGGTCCTCCTTTTTTCTAATTTAATTCTTAATATGGAGGCGAATGCGACACAGAACGATCGAATAGGCTATTAAAATCTGTCTGATGTTCAAACATTATTTGAGCTGCAGTGATTCTTCTCAATCATCCTGACCTGATTCTCAGATATTCTGTGTCACACAAGCTTCAGCATTTCATGTGGTCTATCTGTATGAAGATGGAGAAATGCCTGAACCATATGACAAACAAAGCCAATGATAATTGGTGCTAAGCCCATTTGACATAGGTTATTTAATAAGTAAATATTATTAATATATTTAATTGAAAAAGGGTTAAAACATTGTGAAGTCTGCAATTGTTTGAACTTTTAGCTTAAACATTTCTCTATCTCGACTTTCCCTTTCAGATGCATCTTCAGTGATGTCTGTCAAATGTTTTAAGCATTTACCAACTTCAAACGGCTACAATCAATAAATGATCAATAAGAGATATTAACTGGTCATCCAATCAAGCTATTGGATCACCACTCTGCAAATCTCATGAAGGTCGAACTGTCAGATATAGCTCACTATCTTCAGCGATTAGTTGAATAATTGAACATAGAGAAATATATCTGACAAACCAAATCAGCAAGAATAAGCAGACAAAGCTGACTGGATACAGCTCATTCATCACTTTGCAGACCTCAAAACAATCAAACCTACACCTGGTAGACCTGTAACCAAGCTACAAATTATACGGTGAGTCATAAAAAATTACCATTCTTCTTGCTAATTTAAAAATAATTTTATTTTCGCACAATTTTTTTTTTTTTTTCATTCAAAGTATATACTGCTGTGTTCTATGGTTTGTTGCCATCTCAAAGCCAGCATTGGATTCCTTCACAATACCATTCTTTGGGTTTTGAATAAAAGAATTCTGCAACAATATTTTGAACCTCATCCAGAGAATTGTTTTCTCTTGGAGATAATGAGCCATAGACTGGAACAGGTGGTAGTCAGAAGGTGCTAAGTTTGGGCTGTAAGCAGGGTGAGAAGCACAATTCCATTCAATTCTGAAATTTTTTGTTTCGTGTAATATGAAGTGTGTTATTTTGTTGAAACAAAACCCGATTTCTATTTACTGATCCTGTGTAATGTTGGGTCATAGCATTACACATTTTTGTAACTTCCCATAATAAAGTTCTGAATCAATGGTTCGACCTTGTGGAATGAACTCATGTCTTCGTAATTCCAAAATAGGACGATGTACTTAAGGTCATTTGGGGTTTTCAAAGGATGTTACAGATTTCTGTTGTCGGAGTTCTGCTCAATGGTCAACTCATATCGAACCACTCTGAATTAGTGATTCAATTTCCACAAGTTATGCAGCAACGATTTACGTTGGAATGGAAAACTCCAACTCTTGTTAATTCCTGAGTACTTTTCATTGGGTCTCCCTCAACATAGTCCTGCAGAGCTTCGTCATAGATTTTCCAGTCTGGAACCCTCTTTCTTCTCAGGGCTGATGCCACCGGGTTTAAAATTTTTGGAACCATCTGCTGATTTCTGAGGGAGCATCCTCTTCCTAAAATTGCAACGGGTAACTTACATTTCTAATGGCATAATATTTCAAAATAATTAAATATAAAAGTGGTATCAAACCTAACTGGATTTGAAAAAGAAATAATGCCTATGGGGGATTACAATTTCCAAGAAATTAAAATCAAGTCATGTTTTGTGGCTTATCTGATTAATCTCCCGATGCATTGATATGTAGCGTGTATTAAAAGAAGAATGTTATTAATTTTTTTATTAATAAAAATAAAAGTACAAGGTAATTTACAAAACTGTACCAGTAATAAAGAAATGTTTATACTGACATAATCTTGGTTTTGTCTAATTGCCAAACTTGGTTTTACATAATTGTCACACGAGAAATATATATAAAAAAAAAAATAGTCAATTCAATAGATCAATTGGATCAAACGTCGTATTTCCCTTTGAGACCTAGGTGGTGGTGGATCTTGCCTTCCATTCCTTTTTTTGTCGTCCTTCTGTGTGACTTCTGGGGTCCGTTGACGAAGCACCAGTCAACGCTGACTACCTGGCCTAGGATCTCCATACCATCGAGAGCTTCCTTCGCGGCCAAAGCTTCACCGTACTTGCTGTACTCGACAAGGGCATAGCCTTTGAGGAAACCCGTCCTTCTGTCCAGGTTCAGGTGGATGTTCTTGATCTCGCCGTACTCAGAGAGCTTCTCGTGCATGTCCTCTTCCTGGATCTCCTCGTGAAGGGATGTTATGAAGAGGATCCAGCCTTCGACCGACCTCTGGGGCCCGGGTTGGTCGTCGTCCCGTTCCAAGGATTCGAACACGCCGACGTCCTCGAGGTTCCTCGAGTCTTCGGTGAAACCCCGGCCTTTCCGTTTGTTCGCCTTTTCCTTCAGCATCGCAATGTTGAGCGCTCCTTCGTCAACCGTCTCCTCTTCCATTTCAACTTCAACACCGAACTCCTCCGGAGTGTCGATGTCGAGCACGTCTGCCATCTCTTTTGAACTGCTTTTTTCACTTTACAAGGAACAAGAAACAAGAGAAACGAGTTTTCCTTACCGAATGCGCAGAAGGCGGCGATAACACAACTCACAAACCTAACCTTGTCTCAATGATCGATAGTCAACGATCAAAAGTATCAACTACAACTACAGCAACATCAAAAGCATCGATTCATACAACATCTTTCTTTGTGTTCACAAATGTAACTTTTAAACAATAAAATATCACGAAAATAATTAATAAAACTATAAAATATTGAAAATCTATTAGATTAAATTATACCATCGTATAATATGCTAAAAGATGTTTAAATTAATTAACTAAATCGATTAACTAAATGAATCGAATAAGGGATAAAGGAAAAACAAAAACAGGGAATAAAACACCGAAACCAAAACAGTATAATTTGTTAATTAATAATCAGAGATGAGGCCAATACTCAATAATACAAATTATATAGATATGAATGTAAATACTTTGACAAATAATTATTGGTTTAAAACAAAACTCTGATTTGAAAAAAAAAAATGGTTGGGAGTATGATTTCGTTTAATTATTTATTTTAAAGGTAACAAATAGGGTTTTATACCCCATTACATGTACTTATGTAAGAAATAAATTAAGTTTTATAAACATAATAAAATATGATCAGCAATAATAAAAATAAAACATATAATAGAATATACTTTCCTACAAACTCAATCTTCCTCCGAATTCTGCCTACCCTGGAATCCGCTCTGAATTTAAACTTTTCGATCTGGCTCTAAGAAGGGATTACTTTGATATTGTTTTTGTATTTAAATTATTAAACAATCTCATTGATAGTCCTTATCTCCTCTCTCAACAACAGCTACATGTCCCTTCGCACTCTCTTAAAACCTATAAATTATTTTATTTTGAATTCCAAAGCTCTAACTACATGCTCTCTTCTCCTCTACACAGAATGATGATCAAGAGTAACAACATCTGCAATAGCATTGACTTCTTCAATAGTTCTGTGCAATCTGTGAAAAACCTTATCCTACAACCTTAGTTGAATGCTTTTATATTTCATACTGTACAAAATTATTACAATTTATTTCATTTACTGGTTCAACTAATTCTCGCACTCTAGTCTTATTATATATTTACAAAGAGCATTATTTTCATTAAATATGTACCTAATTATTGTAGTTTCAATTGTCTTTCAGCTTTATTTTGTTTCCTCTGCCTTATTTGGTTAGTAATTATGTCTTTCATTTTTGTTGTTCAGTTTTTACTCTTTAATTGTATTTTTATATTTATCATTTATATTTACCATTTATATTATTACCATGTATATACATCCTTATTCTTTTTATATATATTATTTGTATTTTTACATATATTATTTATATTTTTTGTTATTGTAAAATGTCTTTTTTTATAGTGTATTTCGATCCGTAAATAAATACATACATAATATATACAATAATTTCAGTAATATATTCTTTAAATTTTTAATTATTTATAATCGAATGATGAAACCACATTATGGAAAAAAGTAGAAAAAGAAAAAAAGGAAACGGGAAAAAGAAAAGGAGATGATTCATATCGTTTTTAAAAACAAACATGCCATGTAATTAATTATTAAATCATATTATATATAACAGTAAAAATATATAATTATTAAATTGCGATTTTGGGCATTGTACTTTATTACCCCGCAATTTATATTTTTGTCCATTTTATTTTTACGCTCCAGCAGCCTCAAACATTGCTGAAAAAAGAAAGAAATCTTGCACGCACAACTCTCATTCAAAAACACAAACAGACAAACATTCAATGGTAAAATAATCTGGGAAAAGGCCTAAATCTCATTATAAAATCCAATAAATTTGAGAATATATATAATATAATATTATNCCTATTTATTTATTTATTTTACGGTTTCCCAATTACAAATTTGTACAATAAAAGTATAAAGGTTATACTTATAACTGTAAATAAATTTAGAAATGTTTATAATTTAACACAAATTTTTGAGATTAATTGAAACATTTTGAAATATGAATTAAAACTATGTAATTATCAATTATTACTTCTAACCAAAATCAATATTAATTAAATATATTAATTATACAACATTTAATCTTTGAATGTTTGACTGCTAGTGTTTAAATGAGAGTTGTGCGTGCACGATTTCATTCTTTTTTCAGGAATTTTTGAGGCTGCCAGAGCAGGAAAATGAAATAAAAGAAAATACAAATTGCGGGGTATAAACTACAATGTCAAAAAGCGCCATTTAAATAAGGAAAGATAGCTTCCTCCAAAAAAAAGCATTATTATGTTTTTGGTTTATGCTGAGACTGTTGCTAGTCTGACTCCATTATTATTATTAGTATTATTATTATTACTGCCCATGCAAGCCTATGGGTAATGTTTAAATTATGGAACAAAAATTCGAAATTCTAATTAAATTTTATAATTTAAAATGGGTTTTTGGCTTTACAAATTAAGTATTTTAAAACGATAAATTAAAGCTTTCGATGGCAATAGGATAGATTAGTTTATGGGTGAATTTTTGGATTCGGAGCTTTATAGCACTCAGAAGGGATGTAGGTAACCTAAGAGGTTGAGGCATGAGACAACCAAAACAACCAAATGGGGAAACAAGGAAATCATTCCACAAAAAAACAACTTAAAAGATCTAACAGGTATATTTAAGAGACATGATCCAGTAAAATACTGCTTTGAAAATGAGACTATTAGGATGACCAATGTCTAAAAAAGACAGAGCATCCTATGCAACTGTCCTACGGCTAGGAAAAGGCTATAGTACCTAGGATAGAGCTGTGCAATATAGATCTAGATACCATACCCCTGAGAAGAATTGTATGCTTCTTTAAAGAAATGAAAATCTTCCAGGAAAACCATTAGCAGAGATTGGCACATAGACAAAAGTATAAGTGCTAAAGGGTGAAATTCCTACAACTCCAAATGGGAGGAAAAATTGTGATATTTCCTCTTTGGGCCTGCAGAGTACATGTAGTTTGGTTGTTTCAAATCATTTTTAGTCTTCCTATCCTGGCTGTCAGATGCGTTTTGCCTTTTTGCAATCTTTAGAGGTGGGTTTTCTACATGAAAGATTCAATTCGTAGTTATTAAAGGCTGGTTCCAGCACTGAAGATGGCAGGAAGAATATTTATGATAACACACAAAAAAAAGTAACAAAATAAATAAAATTAATTTTTGCTTATGTTAGATAATTTTTTAAGCAAAACAATAAGCCTATATGTAATATTTTGAAGGCACTGTTAAAAGGCAAAAAGCTAGAAATAATATAATTTGAAAAGAAATGCTAAAACAAAATGGTTTAACAAGTTTCATATATTTGCTGATCATACCAAAAGATAATTATCCGTTAATTATCTCAGATTCGCTGTAATCTTTATCTGAAGTCATTCGAATTATTTAATTGTGCCATTTTGTTCGACGATCTTGGAATTGTCGGTCTTTTAATAATTTGATCAGTCCTGATTATTGTCATCGATTCTCACTGTCATATTGTTCTAAAGGGTTGAAACATCTTCAGTTAAAAACAAAGAAGAATAAGGATGTAGTCTTGCATACAAATACACAATCAAGTCATTCTTGTTTAAAAAAATTGAGTAAATAGTAGTAAAAGAAAATATGTGAAAATATGAAAAATTGACCATCTTCAGCACACAAAATCACAGTGGCATACATGTAATGTTAGCTCATAGGAACATTAGAAAATTTTTTATCCACATGATATTTTACAATCACAAGCCATTTTTTCCACTTTTCCAAAATAACATAGTAATTGAAATGCATAAATATTTAAACAATGATTGTATGACTATGGCACAAAAGTTGCAAATAGAAAGATGTTCCTTCCCGTTGTATTAAATTAAAAATAACTTACAACATAACTGTCAAAAAGGGAAGGAAAAGAAAATGAAAAAGAATATTTACAAAAAAATCTACGTAGTAAAGGTCGTAGATATCAGAACCCTTGTACTGTATATATTTGTTATCTTCCATTCACCGTTAATGGCAGCTTATCTCATCCTTCACATTTATACTCTTGCCTTTAATATTCATATTTAATTTATTGTGCCTGCACTGTTTCAACGTATGAGCCTGAGAATTTATATTTCTGGTAAGTTAAGAAAGAATTTATTTTAAACTGTAAATATAACCCACAATTTCATGGCCATACTTATTTTATATTTATCTAATATATTATATCTACAATGATTATTATATTACATACAAGTATTGATGAATTTGCTAATTATACTTTGTATAAATGAATTACGAAACTTTTTTTTTAATTTTTCTTATAAATGTTATAGTTGAGCACTTATATTTACAATTTTTTTTAAAATACCTGATGCCATTATGTAATTATTGCAAAATCTTTTAACAATAATTACTAATTATTGCTTGCCATATGGTCATAATTATACCCTAAGAAATGAATGAAATATTTCCAATATTTTGGTGGCCTATCCTTGCTGTTTTAAACTGTCAGACATGCCTAAGCTTTTAATAGAAGATAATTATATGCTTTGCAGAGAAAACCCACCAATTAAGATGGCAAAAAGCCAAAACAATGAATATGGGAAGACCAAAAATGATTGGAAACGGGCAAACTACATTTTCATTACCTTGCGAGCCCAAAGAGGAAATATCACATTTTTTCCTCTCATTTGGAGTCATAGGAATTTTTCATTTAGCACTTGAAATTTTGTCTATTGTGTTAGATCTCTGCTAATAGTTTTACCGTAAGATTTTCGCTTTCATATTAAAGTACAGAATTCTCTTGGTATGGAATCTAGGTCTATATTGCATATGGTTTTCCTAGGTACCTTAATTTTTTCCTGTTAACACAGGGCAGTTGCTAACATGTTGCATGTCTCTGTTTCTACTAAACATTCCTAGACTGAATTAGTCATCTGTTGATATTCCCAGTTTTTTAAATTCGTATTTTACTGGAGCATGTCTTGTAAATATACCATTTATAGTTTTTAATTCGTTTCTGCAGAAAATGATTTCCTCTTTCTCTTTTTTGGCTGTTTTTTGCAGGTTATCTTTTCGCCTACTTCGTACGACCTGGCATACGTTCCCACTTCCCAGTTTGTTGTGTTCTTTAGTTGCCAAATATTCCAGTTCTTTCTTAAAACGGCTATAATTGTATGCCACAAAATAATTTAGCCTGCTTGGCTTGTTCATTGCTGTCTCATTGTCATTCCCTCACGACTTGAAAACAAACGATGTTATTTGTAGATCCCAGTTTTTTTAAGGGTATTTAGGCCATTTCACACAAGAGTTAGGTTAATCTGTTAGAATTGAAGAGCCTTTAGAGCTGTATGGCTATCTTATAGTATTATTATTAGTGCACTCATATGATATATGATATTTATTTCAGTGCACATGTTTATATGCTCAGCAATTCGGCCTGAACGATTGGTTGTGGTGGGGCCAATAATGATGTGATTTTTTTCCGGATGTCTTGGTCTTCCTTGAAGATTTGCATTTCTTTAATGATGTACACTATACAGATTCTCATCAGGACTAGGTCTACACTACATAAGTGTGGTTTTACTAGGGGGCCACAGTAGCCGAGTGGTTAAGGCATCAGACTCTCAGCTAGAAGAGCCTGCGGTCGTGGGTTCGATCCCCACCGTCGCTTCTAGACTTTTCTGGCGCCTAAGGGGACCGGTGGCTGCAGTTGAAAGAAATTGACACGGCACTCATCAATGGAAGGAGCGGGATCAGATCTTAGTGATCCTGAATTTGGTCCTAACCCCCTTCAAAAATGAGTTTCTTCGATGGAAGAACACCGACATACCGGGGCTCAAATTCACACTTGTGTTGAAAGCCCCCAAAAATATGGAGCCAGGGATAAAGTACAATAAGCTGTTCAGCTGCAGTGCTCAGGAGGGAACTCCTCCAGTTCTTGGTATCCATTGTTTTACTAGTTACCATAACCTTTCTTTTCCTGGCTATTGCAAGGTAGTTGCATAAGATTAAGACATAGACCTATTAATTATTACCCTCTTGTAGATCCCAGTAGTTTTAGGGTATTTAGGTAGACATAGACTAGTTTTCAGTTGATCTTGTACGTTCCGAGAGCTTTTAGAGCAGCTTGGCTATATGATAGTAAATTTCACAATTATAATATATTAGTAAATACTATAAAAATAGTATAAACTATAAAAAATGTTTTCCAAAATAATTAATTCAATTTATAAAGAGACTTTTTTATAAAGCGAGTCATAACAAACCAATATTAGTGTTAAATAATAATATAAAAAATGACAATATTGTTAATTTTATATTAAAAATCAGGGATGAGGCCAATTTGAAAGAAAATATTAATTTATTTTCACTGAGCCTTCGAAGAATATATCCTCTCCATCAGGTCTTTAAAATTTATTATTAGTAATTAATTATCAACGTCAACAAATGAGGTCACAAAGTATAAATATTAATTATTGACGTGCCAAGCAGGTGGCGCCCCAAAGCAAAAGTTGTTTGTATTTTAAATTTTAATTTAAATCGTTGAAAATCCTGTCAGAGGTCCAAAATTTTTCAATATATATCTGGAAGACTTATAAGATATCCGAGATAAACCAATTTTGCAGTCGAAAATTGTTTTATGTCATTCAATGAGACAATCTTGGAGGATGACATTTACAACCTGATGCAAGGATCATACCTTGAGCTAGGTAGTCGCTTCCAGGTTACCACGTGCTTTGGCGTCGCCTTGCCTGTCAATCAAACCAAAGTTGTTGTTTTTTGTTGTTGTTGACTGTCAACAAGTTTAGGATTTTAAGGGAAAATATTTCAGCACTATGACGTCTGAAGAGGTGAGTTCTGACACTTGATTCGAGAATTATGTACTAATTATTGTTTAAAATATTAAAATGGTACAGTGTTATCTCTCTAGGGTTTATTGTTAGATATTATATTTATATGATTGCTATGTATTGACAAATTGTTACATGTTTACTGTAATATCTAATAAAAAAGGCAATATTTAGCTTTTGAGTTAGGTTTTACGTGTGTTCCTTAGGAAAAAAAAAGTTTTGATTTATGAAAGGAGTATAATTAGTGTAATTTATACCAGAGTAATTTTTTATTTTAATGGTTTTCTTGAAGATTCTCCTTTCTTTAATGAAGCTCAGAATTCTTTTTTATCATTCATCGTTTCCCTAATTTATACAGTAATAATTTTTTATTTTAGTGGTTTTCTGGAAAATTTTAGTTTCATTATTGAAATACAGAATTCTTTTTTTATCATTCTTCTTTTTCCTAATTTATACAGAAGTAATGTTTTATTTTAATGGATTTCCTGGATGATTTTCATTTCATTTAGTTCAAAAAGTACAGAATTCTTTTTTTTTTATCATTCATCTTTTCCTTAATTTATACAGTAGTAATGTTTTATTTTAATGGATTTCCTGGATGATTTTCATTTCATTAAGTTCAAAAAGTACAGAATTATTTTTTTTTATCATTCATCTTTTTCCCTAATTTATACAGTAGTATTTTTTTATTTTAATGGATTTCCTGGATGTTTTTCATTTCATTAAGTTCAAAAAGTACAGAATTTTTTTCTATCATTCATCTTTTCCCTAATTTATACAGTAATAATTTTTTATTTTAATGGTTTTCCTGGAAGATTTTTGTTTCATTATCAAAGTACAGAATTCTTTTTAGTCATTTTTGTTTTCCCTAATTTATACAGTAGTAATTTTTGTTTATGTATTTTTTCAAGAAAAAACTCAAGGAAATAGATTTTACATTCATTAAATATTAATAATTGATTGAGTTAAGAAGGAAGCAAATTTGCCTTTTGCTTTTTCTCAAAATAAACATACTCAAACAGTCTACAATATTAGTGATATATTATGATTATTACATTATGTGCATGCTCGAATAAATGAACATAAACTTTTCTTTGTTTACATTGAGTTTTTTTTATAAGGTGTTTTTTAGAACATGGAGATTTTTGAGACTAATTTGATTTTTTTTTGTTAAAAAGCAATTTCATGTTTTGTTTTTTTTTATTTAAAAAAAAGTTTCATTATTTATTGAAACATTTATTTGATGTTTTGGGTATTTACACACAACATCAGAATCTATATTTTTTAAAAGATGTAAGTATAACAAGGGAAATTGTTATAAAATTGTACCCTATATTTTTTTTTCATTATATGTAGCCTATTAATATTTTGATATTTAAATATATAGATAATATATATTGTATTGATATTCTGATATATTTTTTTTGTAAATGCAATTGTATATTCGGTAATAACTTTTGAATGATTCCAAGACAAAACTAAAAGAGAAAACATATTTGATCGGTTCTGCATGAAGGTTTGTTGGATTTAATAAAAATCAGGTTTTATCTACATTAAATATTAAATTCTGTTAAAATAAAAAATACAGTTCTCTTCATGCCCTGATGATGTTAATACATTAGACATGTTTTTTACTTTCGAGTCACTTCCTCCAAATTTACACTCCAATTCCTGCTCATCTAGATCACCGAAAATTGTCCTTTAGTTTTTCAAATATTATCCATGAAAAAGTTTTAGAAGCTATCCTATTAAGCCGTCCTACAACAGAAATTATTTTATATAAGTAGCTATTAGATTGTACCTATTATTTTATTTATAAATCTTAGTTTTGTTGTAATGATTTTCAGCATATTTTATTTGTTTATGACAATTGTTTTGTTGCCTATAAATAAAACATCACTTTTAGTCCTCTGCTGTCTAAGCCAAGGTCTTGCATTTGTAATATATGTCAAATTCCAGCTTTACAGTTTAATTTATGTTCGGGTATTCTTGTAATATTATTATTGTTTTTTTCAGGGTGGTACAATGAACGCTTTTAAAGAAGGCTGGTTCACTGAGATTGACAAGCTGTGGCCAAGTATAGCTCTATCACTGGAAGTCGATTCTGTGTTGTATAAAGGGAAGTCAAAATTCCAGAGCATCCAAGTCCTTCAAACGTAAGCATGTTGTCTCCGGCGTTGAACCGTGGATTGACATTTCTTGTTTTATAGGAAATCTCTCGGGAAGGCATTGATCCTCGATGGCATCATTCAATGCACGGAATTTGACGAATTTTCCTATCAGGAAATGATCTCATACCTGCCGCTTCATAGCCACCCAAATCCACAAAAGGTAATTTTGCGATTTGATTTGTGAGCTAAAATCTAAACCTTGTAGTAATTATTAATCGTGTAATTGACAACCTTATATTTGCCATTACTGTTTTATTTAAAAATATTTTTGTTTAATAAACGATGCAAAAATTTGCATTTGAAAATTATTGTTACATGCTTTCAGATTGCTTTGAAAAATTCTCAAATTTAGCCATGTTTTGACATTGTTGTAAAATCTTTAGTTTATTAATAACTTGCTCATCATTATGAGAAGTACAGTCTGGAAATAAGTTTCAGATTCCATGTTTAATTTTTTTTCTTTTATTAAAATGTTCTTATTTGAAAAATTCAGCTAAGTTAAAACTTGTCAGGTGAAAAATTACGCACAAGCAGGGACCCGATAGCGACAGGCTCCAATGATCCATTGACTCTCACAAGCTATTGTCAATAGTATCCAGAATAAATGTGTGACGATATAACTATATAAATGAACGTGGGGTGATGCAGTTGGCAATAGATATTGCGACGTCAAGGGGCGAAGAAGTCGGTTTTTCTTTCTCGCCAAAGAGCGAAACATCAATCTTCTCCACTTTTGTAACTTAGGAGGGCTCACTAACCCCCAATTCTGTCTGGGTGGAGCGCCGATTGACACAAGGACTCATTCTTTTGGAGCAAACACCACACAGGTTCCCGCTTGAAGAGAAAGGTCACTCGGTCGAGGAGTGCCACGGTTTGTCCCCTTACAGGGAGCGAGTAGGCATGGCACCTCATAAAACATCCTTGGGCAGTAGGGCTTGAGAAGCACTGTTTAAGGGAAACAGGATATTTCCTCATATTTAATCTATACATATTGAATGTATAAATTATTTATTGTATATATTTTTGTGGTACTATTTGTATGAATGTATGAATGAGTGAGAATATTACATATTCCACCATCGGCCCTCATGGTGCAGTGGAGGCTGATATGACTCCATTATCAGTGCCCTCCATTAAAAAAATAATAATAATAAAAATTAATGGAAATGTAAGAAAATACAAATTGCGGGGTAATAAACTGCAATGGTCAAAATTGCAATTTAAATAAGAAAGATAGCTCCCTCAAAAAAAAAAAAAAAAAAAAAAAAAAAAAAAAAAAAAAAAAAAAAGTGTTTCTTATTATTGTTATGTAGAATTAATTTATTTATCATATTTCAGTGGAAGAATAAAATGATAAGGATGAGCCTATACTCATACTGAGACTGTTGCTAGTCCATTATTATTATTATTATTATTAGCCATACAAGCCTATGGGAAATGTTTAAATTTTGGAACAAAAATTCAGAATTCTAATTTAAAAAAAAAAATAAATAAATAAATAAATAAAAAAATAAATTTTATATGTAATTTAAAATGTGTGGTGATTAGTGGCCGTTAATCGATAATTATTCAGAAATCGTGAGATGCGGTCTGGTGTGATGTAGGTTTCAGAAAAACATTTTCTTTATCGTGCCAACGTTTCGATCTTTATTGAGATCATCTTCTGGGCCTGGGATTTACAGACATTGTTTACATTTAACAAATACATTTAGGATGTGGAAAAGTGAATTTATACAATGCAAAATATATTTTTTATTAATTCACTACTTTCGTGGTCCGCTTGACCAATTAATACATGACAATTAATTAAGGCTTTTAGTTGAGATAAAAAAAGTTAATGGCACGAGCGGGATTCGAACCCACGATCTCCGGCTTGATACGCCGCTGCTCTACCACTTGAGCTATCGTGACCTCGATCCACTCGGACATCAACTCCCCATCTCAACCCCACCTTATGAGTTTTCCCTCCTTTTGCCATTTTTCAAATGTCATGTAATCGGTTTTGATTCTCGACGGCAATTGAAATGGCGACGGCGAGCTTTAGTGAAGTATACTTCGATTTTAATCATTAAATTCACTAATTTTGTGGTCTGCTTGACCAATTAATATATTACAATTAATTAAGGTTTTTAGTTGAGATAAAAAAAGATAAATCCAATCCGATTACACGACATTTGAAAAATGGCAAAAAGGAGGGAAAACTCAAAAGGTGGGGTTGAGATGGGAAGTTGGTGTCCGAGTGGATCGAGGTCACGATAGCTCGAGTGGTAGAGCAGCGGAGTATCAAGCCGAAGATCGTGGGTTCGAATCCCGCTCGTGCCATTGACTTTTTTATCTCAACTAAAAACCTTAATTAATTGTAATAAAAATATATTTTGCATTGTATAAATTCACTTTTCCACATCCTAAATGTATTTGTTAAATGTAAACAATGTTTGTAAATCCCAGGCCCTGAAGATGATCTCAATAAAGATTGAAACGTTGGCACGATAAAGAAAATGTTTTTCTAAAATCTACATCACACCAGACCGCTTCTCACGATTTCTGAACAATTAGTAATTTAAAATGTGATTTTTGCATACATTTGGCCTTCCAAATTAAGAATTTTAAGAGGATAAATTAAAGCTTGGATGGCAATAGGATAAATTAGTCTATGAGTGAATGTTTGGAGTCAGAGCTTTATAGCACTCAGAAGGGTATAGCTAAACTAAGATAGAAGGTTTGGGATGTTAGGGCGTGAAATGACCTTAGCCGTTAAAACATCCTTAAAAATTAATTGATTAATACTGAGCCAGGAAATACTGTGCTCATACTGCAATTTTTTAGATGCTCTAAAAACGCAGTTATATGCTTTCATGTTGACTTCTGATTGTAGTGTGCACGTACACGTTTCCAAATTGTACAACTTGTGATTGTACAAATATAATGACCAATTCTCAAGTGTGACATTGTTGCAAAGAAGGAAGTCTTCTTTCTCGAAATGGGTTTTTCTGAATCTTTCTGAATGATAAGAAGGCCCACTGCAATCACATCGTATAAATTTTGTTACCTTGTCTTTCCTTTTCAAATCGTTTATGAAATCGCCCCGTTTTCCCAATTTCTCCTGGGACTCCTCTAATTTTTGCCTACTTGGCTAATTCATCAACTCTTTCATTGTATATACCGCGTGACCTTTGACCCATCTTGTTCACTTAATTAAAATTTAATTTAAAAGTCTATTATTTAAAAGATTCTCTGTACTTCAATGTTAGTGGCTTGTGGTGCAAGTAAGTTCTATTCTATCATAATTAAATTGCTTTTTTAAATGTTGAACGCTATCTGTATGCCATTTTTGGTTTTATTCTGTTTAACTCTTTTTTTATGTTCAGTACTTATACTTAATTCACTTTTTTTTCATTACTATCATCATAAAGAAATTGATCTTTTTAAAGGTTTTAATCGTTGGAGGAGGCGATGGTGGTGTTGCAAGGGAAGTGGCGAAACATCCTTCCGTAAAAGCAATAGATCAAGTTGAAATCGACGACCTCGTCATGGAAGTCTCCAGAAAGTATTTACCGAGCTTGTCGCAAGGTTTAGACCATCCTAAACTGACTTTACACGTCGAGGATGGTTTCGTCTTCCTCAAAAATAGAAAGAACGAATACGACGTGATCATTACAGACTCCTCAGATCCCGTTGGTAAATCGTTTTGACCGCTTTGACTAATTATACTCTATAAATGGCGTCCTTTTAGGTCCAGCTGTGCCTCTGTTTCAACAGCCGTATTTCGAACTGATGAAATCGGCTTTAAAGCCGAACGGTATCGTCTGTTCCCAAGCCGGAACACCTTGGACAAATTTAGATATTGTAGTCAATACGTTTAAAAACTGTAAGCAAGCCTTTCCGGTAGTCTCTTACGGCTACACGTCCGTTCCGACATACCCGAACGGACAGATCGGATTCGTTTTAGGCAGTTTGAACCTGGTAAGTGATATCATGAATTGATTTTGTTTCTATATTTCATGTTCTATTATGTTTTAGGAGACGAATTTTAAAGAACCTCTTAAGACAATGACTGACGAAGATTTAGAACAAATGAAATTTCGCTATTATACTTCTGAAGTCCACCGAGCGGCTTTTGCATTGCCGAAATTTTTAAGAGACGCCCTTCAAAAAGTTTGATTTCTTAAACTTTTAAAAATTCAGCAGAAGGATATTAAAACATTCCAGAAGATGTATGTTTGTTATTAACTTTTCATTTTGAGTTATTTTATATAATACATGTTATTAGATAATGGCATAATGTTTTTTTTTCTCCTTAAGTTATTTGAATTACAATATTCGGTTAAAAACTAGACAGATCTAAGTACATGGAAGACGATTTTTTAACCCTCATGAAAAGGAATGTTTGTGAGATATAAAACTCTCAATTAAGATTTTGTTTTATTACCGTTTTTTTTAATATATGATAGGCAAAGCATGTAGCACTATCTCACAGTGCTAAAAACATGGAGACATTTATAAACTAAAAAATGAATAACTATAATGAAGTGACTCATTTATTTTGTGTTTTAGGTATTTTTTTAGCCAATACTTAACAGTTATAAGTAAATATACATTAACTATTTCCTGTGTAACTTAATATAAATATTAATTATAGATACCTATTGAATATGATTTTATTTTCTTACAAATCTCTTTATTTTTTTTTCCGCTAAACATTATATGTTATCATAGGTTGGTACTTATTAACACAAATGTGAAATATAAAATAACTAAAACGAGATTCCGCATATCAATACTGAAAAAAAGCTGTGCCTCAAAATGAAGAAAAAACATAAATAAGTGGTAACATTTTCTAAACCATGGTTAACATCAGCTACGGAATCCATTCTGAACCTGGCCTTTCTTTCCCTAATTAAAAAATACTGTTCGTAATACTGGCTTCCAAACTTTCGTTAATTTTATTCACCTGTATCACAGTACGTCCCCATGAATAAGAATGTTTTATTAAGTAGTATTTTTATTTTTTCATGTAGGGATATACGATATCTCTGAGTGGGACGAAAGTTTCTTTAATCGATTGCGGTGTCGTCCAACGAAGGATGTAATGCGGCCCACCTGCTTTGTCGTTTGTTCCTGAAATATACCAGTAGATAATTTTTCTCAGGTATGGGAAAAATAAATTTAAACCGTTAAGAAATCATTACCTGACATTCTTCCACCTCCGAAAGGTTGTTGTGCGACAACAGATCCAGTGGATTTGTCATTAATATAATAATTACCGGATACCATCCTGAGTTTTTCCAAAGCATACGATTGAAATTTCCTAAGCACATAATACAACATTTAAATATAGGTTTGCTTAATAATAAAAAAAAAAAAATAAAAATAAATTACAAGTCTTGGGCAAAGACAGCACCCGTCAGGGCATATGGTGTCGAGTCAGCAACAAGGTCAAGTGTCTGTTCGATATCACTATCATCGTAAACAAAGATGGTAAGAACAGGTCCGAAAATTTCTTCTGTCATTATCTTATTCAAAGGATCTTTGGACTCAACAATCGTAGGCTCGACGAAGTAACCACACCTGAAAGAAACATTTTAACATTTTTAATTGATTTAGCTGAGACTCAAATTTATGTAAAATCTTGGGCTTACTTATCGACACAGTTTCCACCTCCCAGGACTTCTAAACAGTCCGATTTTTTCGCCATTTCAATGTATCCTTTTATCCTTTTGTAAGCCTTATCGTCAATAACAGCGGACATAAATGTATCGAAATCTCTGACGTCTCCTACTTTCAGCTTCTTCCTTGTTTCCAAAAGTCCTTCTTTAATCTAAAACAAACGTTAAACAATTCGTAAAACATTTTAAAGAAATTATTGGTTTCTGAAGAACAAATTTTACGATGCTAACAAGTTAAAAAAATTTCATGGTTGTGTTATAAATAAGTTTTGAATTTTCTTTAAAAAAAACAACAATACCTTTGGCCAGAGAGATTCAGGGACATACATCCTTGAGCAAGCTGAACACTTCTGACCGCAGAATTCAAACGCAGACCTAATCGTGCCGGAAATAACAGATTCAACATCGGCACTCGGGTGTACAAAGTGATAGTTTTTGCCTCCACACTCGCCGATTAGCCTTGGGTAGTTCTTATACTTGTCAACGTTTTTACCTACTTGAGTCCATAGCCTGTTGAACGTCCTGAAACAAATACACAAGTATAATAAAATTTAGTGTCGAAACAGTTTCACCCTTTTTTTTTGTTCACTAGTGTTTATTTTTGTGTGCGTATCTGTAAGGAAATTGATTAATTTGTTTTTTCTTCATATTCTGTTGTTTCATTGGGCTTTCAATTTATCAGCAATCTTTTTTTTTTTTTTCTAAGTAACCTAACCGTCCATTTATTCTTTTATTACATCCCCCCCCCCCAAGTAATGAAGGTTTTTTTTTCAGTAGTTCGAAAAGTTCAATAAAAATAATTTCATCGATTAAAGCCCATTTTGCACACACATTAATTTTGTGTCTTCATTTATATCTTCTGAATTTCTTCTGTGATGTCTTCTTTTCCATCAAATTAGAGTATGGATAATCATCAGCTGAGGGTCTCGGGTGTGGTCTGATCTGAGATCTCAATCTGAAAAAGCAATATTTTTTCCAACGGTAAGACGAGGCCTTTTTCTTTCGATTTTTTTTTTATTTGTTTAAATTAAATAATTCATATGAAAAGAAATACAGAGGGGGGAAGTGTGCAGTAAACATACGTCTTGAATTATTTGTGTTAAAATAATAATTACCGTAGTTTAAGACAAGCTGGTAGAAAGATAAGGGGTTTGGAAAGACCTAGAAATGATGGGTTATGAATTCCTCTACTCTACAAACGTCGTTTCAGTGTCCTTTGTATAAATCTTCTGCTCCTGCGATCCTCTTCTTCTTTTGCCTTCTCTCTTCCATTTCATTTTCATTTAACATTTCTAAATCTTTCCAAAAACAAAAATAAGGAGATTCGGAGAAACAAAAAAAAAGATTCGTGCAAAGAAAATAAGGTCATCAATTTTTTTTTTAAGGATTAAAAAACAAAAACAAAAAACATATCGACTTACGGCACTGAACCCGTGAAGTTGATTCCGGCAAGGGTGGGTGAAGATGTGATTGCATCACCGAAAACCGGGCCGTCTGCGGGAACGAAGTTGACAACGCCTGGTGGAACGCCTGCTTCTGTCATTACCTGGTAGATCAGGTAGTTAGAGAGTAATGCTGTATCCGATGGTTTCCATAGCGTTGAACAACCCTAGAAGCGAAGAAAACTGTGATTTCATCTTTAAAAATTGGCAAATTTTTCTTTTTAAATTCATTAAAACCTTTCTGATGTTTGAACATAAGTTTGAAAGATCTATATTAAATTTGGACCATTACTGTTCATCGTTGATCAACCTGATCTGTTCATTCTCACGTTATTGTCACTATTTTTAGTCTTTATTCTGTGCATTTTTCTTGTGTCCTTATTGTCGGGTTTTATTGAAGGCAAATTAGGAGTCAGTTCTCTTGGTTGACTGTCAAAGTAATACAGTATGATCAGAGATGATCATGGTGTTACATTTTTGACTGGATTTAATCCTAGATCACCTTTAGCTATAAAAATATATATTTTTATGCAAAGAGGCTGAGATAAAAAATTATTGTCACAAGCCGGACTCGAAGTCAAGACATCAGGATTGACCCCCCCCCCACGGTGCTTTATTAATTGAGCTATTGTGACATTCAGTCACCTGAGAACTCCTCATCTCACTTGCAACTATTTCAATTTCCCTCTAATTCTGTCAATGATTGAAAATCACATTTAAAAAAAAAATTTAAAAAAATAAAATTATATATACCTAGTCCTGCCATAAGTTCTGTTACAAACATTCACCTTGAAAATAATCCCAAACGCCTGGCAAACCCTGCTCTCTTGCCTATTGTTTACCTCTGATATAATGCTAAATTCTTTTACTCAGTTGTTATTGAGAATTAATAATGTCAAGATGGAACGCACCCTTGAACAAAATCGTCATGCCATCATCGCACTGCACAAGGCGGGTAAATCAAAATCAGAGATTTTCAAGACGCTGAAATCGTTAGGAATAAATCGAATGTTTGTGTGGCGCACCATAAATCGCTTCAAAGATACTCTATCTATTAAAGACAAACCAAGGTCCGGCCGTCCTCGCTCTGTGAGGGTGAAAAATGCCATCAAAGCGGTTGAAAACCGAATTCGAAGAAATCCACTACGAAAACAAAAAATATTGTCCAGAGAAATGGGGATTTCTTCCTGATCAATGTCGCGCGTCATAAAAGACGATCTTTCAATAAGTGCTTACTGTAGAATGACAGGACAAAGGCTTACAGTATCTTTAAAAAAAATTAGAGTCGAAAGAGCCAAGGCATTGTTGATGCCGATGGAGTTCATCGAAACATCTTGTTTACCGATGAAAAAAATTTTACTATCGAGGAAAAATTTAATCATCAAAATGACAAGGTTTATGCTAGAAGTTCTCTAAAAGCTCAGGAAAAAATCGGAAGGGTAGAAAGAGGCCATCATCCTGCTTCCGTAATGGTGTGGTGGGGGAGTTTGCTACGATGGCACCACAAAACTCCATTTTTGTGAGCAAGGAGTCAAAACAAGGGCGAAAAATTACCAAGAAGACATCCTTGAGAAATTAGTAAAGCCCTTAAGTACTACTCTTTTTTCTGGAACACATTGGGTCTTCCAACAGGACTCAGCTCCTGCGCACAAGGCCCGAACAACTCAGCAGTGGCTGGAGGAGAATGTTCCGGAATTCATTAAGGCTTCAGATTAACAAACTTTTCGATTGCCTGTGTCTGGGGGATAAATTCCACGCCCTAAGGAATTGTTTCATGCCCCAGTTATTAATACTCTTGCCTGGTTATGGTACAGCCACTCCAGTAGGATATTTTTCACATCAAAAGAGATGCCCAAAGAGGCACCGAGTAAAGTGAAAATTTTTAGTCTTAAAGGAAAAAGTGCATATACCAAGGTAGGGTTGTAATTTAGGGGGTTTCACAATAGATTTATAAGGTCACATCAGAGGAAAGGATTTTTAAAAACTGTATAAAAATTAATATAAATTGATAACTGATAATGAATAACTCAAAATGTTATTAAAAATATAAAAAGATTTGTATAGACAAAACATTTTAAAATATTTTATTAGGTTAATACCCCCCGTATGATTTCTTTATTTGATATTCTTTAAAATGGAAGATAACATTTTGAATCTGATCTTGCAGGAATTTTGTCAAAGGGCCAAACTTTCTCAGTTGGCTCTACACTACGAATAATCTATATTAAGAACTGTCATTTCTTACCAGTTTGTTTAAAGAGAAAAATCTGGATACAATTAAGTCAAAATAAGTAAGGACAATGAGGTTGCAAATTTACCATAAGAGCCGGCGTGTAAGCCAAGTTTCCACCAATGGCCGTGAAGTTAAACGGTGAGACGGAGGCGACGAACCCTTCCAAGCCTCTGTATCTCATCGAGTTCAATGTCACCTTCGGGTCTGGACTTACAGGCGCATACTTGACAATTTGAGACGCGTAATATGCATTGAATCTGCAAACAATTCATGTTACGACTGGTATGGTTTATTCTGGTGGTAAATAAATCGAGAAAAAATACCTGATGAAGTCGATCAATTCGGCTGCTGAGTCAATCTCAGCCTGTACAACGGTTTTGGCCTGGCCGAGCATCGTTGCAGCGTTCAACTCCATCCTATACTTGGTGGCCATCAAGTCGGCCGCTTTCCTCCAAATGGCTATCCTCTCCTTGAGAGGCACTAAATCCCAGCTCTTCTGAGCTTCATTTGCCTTTTTTATTGCTTTTAAAACTATGTCCTGGAGAATAAATAGAAACATTTCAATAAAATTAACTAATTATAGTTTAAACGAAAACTTATTATTAAAAGAGATCTATTTATGCTAGATGTTTAATTATCAGATATCAAATCAAATTTACATTAACAATAAGTAAATAGAACAACAATAAATTATTTTTGAATAAATAAATTAAAAAAACAAAAAATGTATATTTGGATTATTACAGATCAACTCTCAAAAGAAATACTTGGGTTGAGGGTCATTAAATAAACATTCTGATTGTACACAAATTTGTTTTTAAATAAATATGAAAATAAATATTTATTTTTAATTATTATTTTTAAATAAATAATATGATATAAATTCGATGGTAAACTTTTTTTTTTTAATGCAAAGAAATGATTTATTCAAGATTGCGTTACATAATTGTAGAATTTCCAAGGTTTGCGAAACACAAATAGATAAATAGCCCATTTAACCTACTTTTTTTTTCTTTTTTTTTTTTTTAACAACAGTAAAAAAAACCTTGGAATCTGATATTACAAAGTATAAAAAATCTCACATTAAACCCTTTTTAAAAATGTTTCTAAAATTAAAACCGGCCGTTCATCAGCTTCCAACCAGATTCCAAGTTACAAATTAAAAAGTTTTATGTGTTAAAAAAATTGAATCATACTTACTGTTGAAGCATAGTAAAACTTGGCAAGCTTTTTTTGATGGTTGTGAGGCTGAAAAATGAATAATAAATTAGTCGATTGTAAATAGAAAATTAACTAGTTTTTCCTATAATTAACAATTTAACTAAGACGAATATTCATGTTTTATACATTTTTTAAAAATTAGGATTTTATTGTTATATATATAGGTTTGTGCTTGTGTTCCAAATTAGAAAAAAAATCAATTTAAATGCAAAAAAAAAGTGAATTTTTGAAAAGAAATTCAGTAATGAACATCATAATTGACATTAGGAATGTTCGGAAGGGTTGAAAAACGATTCCAATTAAAAAAAAAATCAATGTAAAATAAATTTCCTTATTTCAAGAGCACCCCACTCGATCAATAATTAGTTTTTAAAGATTTCACATTGTATTTCTTATCGAACTAGTTTTTTTATTTTCTTACAAGATCTGTGTAAATAAAACATGAGCACACTCAATGAACCTCTTGAATTAATTATTTGAATTATTTTTGAAACATCAAGATCCAGTTGAAGATAATGGGACACGGTTGTGACCTTGCTTCTAAATGAGATACAGCACCCATTAAATTACAACACAATGACTTTTTGACTTTAATTCAAAAATTTATACAATTTAAAATTGTTATTACCATCGCAAATTGTATTTATTATAAAGCTATTTTTATTTGAGTTAACTTTATTCCATTTAAGTGAAAATCTATATTAAGACTGTACTTATTTTTTATTCAACATATTGATCAGTTTTTAAAGCAAACATTTTTTTCTGAACACTTGTGGTTGAAAAAGATTGATTATCAGACCATCAGATATGTTTTGCCAATCTCTTATATTGTCAATTTCTTTAAACTCTTTTAATAAATTCAATCGAATTAAATTTAAGACTCATTCTTCTAATATTAGTTAACAATTAAATAAAATTAATTACTGGTGGGAGTTTATTTATTTTTAATAAAGGAGAGGTATACCATTTTTTTTTTTTTTAAATTGACTTTTCAATGTTGAATCAACTTTATAATCGTATGCACTTCCTTGTTTTAAAATTAATCAATTTGTAGATTAAATAAAAAAATGACATTTCTAAATACTTCCAGGGTTGTTGAAATTTTATATTATCTGCAGGAATTTTTTTATTTTTGTGTAGTTTGATCTGATCATCCTGGTCTGCCTAATTTCACCGGTTTTGCCCCTAGATGCATTTCATGATTTCCCCATCTTCTTTGAAAAGCCTAAGCGTTATTTTGAAGTCTCTTTTTCCTTTGTAAAATGTGAAATAGGCACAAGAAATCACACAGATGGACTAATGAAAATAAAGGAATGGTGAAACGTTGTCTGATAGACAAAGTCAGAGAGAATATGGCAGACCAGGATGATTGATGGCCATTCAACTAAAGATTCATCACATCGCCGACATCACTTTACGACAATAATAAAGCACAATTGGTCACAATGAGATGGTGGATAATTGCATTAAAGATTTGTGTGTGACTATGTTGAATCATGAACAAGTTTTATTGTTGATAAACTTAATTTTGTGTATTATCTTCAGGAATTTCATTTTATAGCAGAAATGGCTCATTTATTCGATTTGGCACTTTTTAAATTTATCACCCTCAAAAATTATATAGAAAACTGGTAGTATTATAATTAATAAAATGGAATCTGAAGTATAAGTTCAAAAATAATGTGAAATAAATAATTTCATTATAGATTTTTGTTTTACATCGGTTAATGTATCATTAAAAACTTCATGTCGGATACATTATCATACAATAAAATTCCTGATGATAACGCGCTCTTATAAATTTTATTTTGTATTGACTTTGCAATCAATGGTGAATTCAACACAAACTTTATCGTAACTTAATCATAGGTATTTTATCCACAGGAATTTCACTTTGTGATGGCATTAAAGTACAATTGTTTGAAATAACAATACCATCTTTAATAAAAAGACAATTTGAAACAGGGTCGGTTTTCTTTTTATCTTTTCTTGTATCTATCTTCCTAAAATAATAAAAACAGAATACTGTTTGTTATTAATTATATTTCATTATAATTATACTGATCTTGAAAACGAGATAAAAAAGAGAGACGAAATAGTGGAGATGAAATGAAATTGTTTGACTCATCTAGCTACAACATTAAAATAGTGTTGTTTTCAAAACAAATTTTAAAATTTCTCCCCTAAATGTATTCAACAATAATGAAGACAGTAATTTGAAAAAAAATAAAGACTTTGTAAACTGATATTACAGACTTCACAATGTTGGTTATTTAAAACTTAACGCACTTAAGTTAAAGTGAACGCTTCATATTCTTGGCTTGTAGACCCTAGTCATTGATTCGATTCCAACCATCGCCCTGGTAATTTCACACCCTGTCCCCTCCTCCAAAAATATTCTGATTATAGTTCGCACTCCAGTCCAGATAACATGTAAAAACATACAGCCATTTATTTGAATTTCATTTTATGACAATAACTTGGCAGAGTTGGCAATCAACTTGAAAATTTACAACATTCTCTGTACTCTTTTCATTTTTGTTCTTTTCCCCCCTTTATAGATAGTTTAATTCTTTATTATTTATATAGGACTTCTTGAAGGCGGACGGGATGGATTTAGGAACTGCATGGGCTGAAAAGACCTAGCTGTTGACAGCTCCTGGAGCCCAAGCTCAGTGGCAGGTCGGATAGCCCGAGATCTGACCCCATATTTCCAACACCTGGAGTGGGTGATTTTCATCAAGGCTTGAATTTCGATTTTTGTAAATTACAAAAGCTGGAATCGCTGATGGATTGCGAAAGCTGGCTCAATTCTGTATATGTGTGTTTATATGTACATACATGGTCAGATTTGAGCTTATATAAATCTATCAATTAAATCCTTTTTTTTTATTAAATTCAGGAATATTATTTTATCATAATAATATTTCATAGCTAGCATAAAATATTGAAAATACTGTCTTTTTCTTTTTCTCTGAAATACTATCTATTTCATTATGACTGTGATTATCCTCAGCTAGAAAATATTTCAATTTAATAACAACGAAGAGGATATTTAAAAAAATTAACTTCATAAATTTGATTTTGCAACAATAAGTTAGTTAAGAATATCAATAATTTTTAAAATAATTTTCTGTATTACTTTGCAAAAGACTAGAGAATATTTTGTTTTATAGTGGTAATAATGGAGTTGTAGGAGAGAAATCTTTGGTGTAATCAATTTTTTTCCCTTGTTGGCAACACAAATATTGTTTTCTATTTAATAATAATGAAGATAAAATTCTATTAAAATAAAAATCATGGACTATTTGCTAGAGTTCACAATGTTGATACTTCAAAAAATACTTCTGGGGATTTTAAACTTGTTTAATGGCAAATATATTCATAAATTCATTTTTATTATCATAATAATGTCACATAGCTGGTGAAAAAAACTGTCTTTTAAAAACAAATTTTTCCACATTATCTATTTTATTTTGACTAATTTATTATCCTTAGTCATGAAAATATTTAAATTTAACAACAGCGAAGATGCTATTTAAATAAAAGGTAACTTCATTACTTTAATTTTGTAACAATAATAAAGCAGAATTGGTTGAGAATGTACATAGTTGTTTTAAATACAATTGTAGGGAATATTATAATATACAATTGTACAATTTAAATATAATTGTAGGGAATATTGTATTTTAAAGTGATAATAATGTTGTAAAAGAAAAATAGATAGACGAGAAATGTGTTGTGTAATGGAAAAATTTTCTCGTTGGCAACATAAACTATCTGTTTAATATTAATGAAGATAACATTTTATTAAAATAAAGACTTCATGGACTATTTGCTATACACTTCACAATGTTGATACGTAAAAAAAAAATACTTCCAGGATTTTAAAGTTTCATAATGGGAAATATCTTCAAAAAATTTAATTTTTTCTCTCTTAAAAAAAAAATTAACATCATTTATGCTGTATTATCTTTAGGAATATTATTGTATTATAATGTCACATAGCTGGCAAAAATATAGAAAAAACTGTCTTTTAAAAACAAATCTTTCCTCAATACCTATTTATTTTTATGCGTTTTTTATCAGCCTTCTAATATCAGGTATGTACAAGTATCAAAGAGAAGGCCAAAAAAGAAAACTGAAAAAATTGTACTCAAGCTTTCAGCCCATTTAATGTCTTCATCAAAACTACAATATATAACTTAAATAAAAACAGACTTAAATAAAAAAAAGGTGGGGTTGAGATGGAAAGTTAGTGTCCGAGTGGATCCAAGTCACGATAGCTCAAGTGGTAGAGCAGTGGTGTATTTACCCGAAGGCCGTGGGTTCGAATCCCGCTCGTGACACTGACTTTTTTATCTCAACTAAAAACCTTAATTAATTGAAAGATATTAATTGGTCAAGTGGACCACGAAAACTAGTGAATTTAAATAAAAACAAATAAATAGCATCAAAAAAATTGAAGGCATGAAATAGGCCAAAAGCTTGACTATGATTTTTTGGGTTTTCTTTGGCCTCCTCCCCACTGGTACAACGTATTACCTATTTCATTTTGACATTCCCCTAATTTATTATCCTTCCTAGGCCTTGAAAATTCTTAAACTGAATAATATGAAGGTGACATTTAGACAAAAAAAAAGTATCTTTATGAATGCGAATTTGTTACAATATTGGTTGCACAATTGCACAACTGGTTGAGAATATATATATATTTTTTTTTAAACAAATCTAGGAAATAATGTGTTTTAAAGTGACAGCAATTGTTATAAAAGAAGAAAAGATATACAAAAAATCTTAATGGATTGTTTTCTCTCACGATGGCAACACAAATGCCATCTATTTAATAATAATATAGATAATATTTTATTAAAACTTAAGACCATGGACTAATGCTAGACTTCACAATGCTCTTACTTGAAAATTATTTTGATGATTTTAAACTTATTTCAGAGGAAATAAGTTCAAAAATTTAATTTGTATTCTCTTTAAAAACTTAATATTCTTTATTTTTTATTATCTTCAGGAATTTTATTTTATCACAATAATGTCACATGGTTGCAAAAAATATTGAAAATAGTGTCTTTTTAAAAACAAATCTTTCCACATTATCTATTTCATTTTGACTTGCCCCCCCCCAAACTTGAGAAAATATGTGTTTTAAAATGATAATAATGATGTCAAAGAAGAAAAGATAGGCAAGAAATCTGTTGTGTAATGGAAATTTTTTTCCTTCGCGTTGACAACACAAATGTTGAATCATTGTAGACAAAAGCATGAAGATGAACATATGTTTTGTAAAATAACAAAAAACAAATCGATCTACATAATTAAAACGTCATGAATGAAGGTTTATTTTAAAACAATTCAGCTAATGCGTTATCGGATGATTAGAATTTATTAATAGACACTGCCCGCCTCTTTTCTATTTATATTTTTTAAGACTTCTATAATTCATTCTATTTTTTGTCTGCAATTTTTCTTTTTAATATTTGAATTGAGAAGTGAGTCTTACCATGACTTGAAAGCGGCATTCTTTCGTAGTTAGCTTTTCACCGCCGATGATGATCGGCACCTCCCAAGTCTGACCTGCCATCTTATCCAGGGCGCATTCGAGCTCCTTCCTCTCTTTGCTGCCGGGCAGATATTCTATGCAGGAAAATTTTTATAAAATTAAGACACTTCTTTGCACGTCATCGACGCGATACTCACCGAGTACGGGTTCATTCTTAACGGTGAACTCTTCGACCTTCGCATCCGGAACGACAGAGGAGACAGCTCGTGTTGTCAGCCTTGAAATGAAAGTTACCTTTCACTCATTTTTTTCTTAATTTATGTCAAATCAATGTGGTGGGAACATTATGAATTTAAAAACTTTTTTTTTTTTAATGACAGATTTTGTGGAATATGATTGTCTTTTTTAAGATATATTAATCTTGTTACTATAAAAAAGAGAAAAACATTTTTTTTGTGAGTGTGAAGGGGTCAATTGCACAAAAAAACTATCTATAGATAAATTTATTGTGATTAATCAAATAGGGCAGAACAAAAAATTGGGAGTGTTTATTTGTATTACCTCTGTAGATTTGTGATAAGGCCGAGTCGAGATAAAGTCAACATCTTGATAGATTCCCTTTTCTATTTGTCTTCTCGTGTCGATATAAACAAATCCGCGAATTTTGATACTTCGTCTTGCTTTATTTTATTTTTTTGTTTTGTTTTTGGAAATGTTTATTTGTGTTGGTTTACTATCATTTCAGCCAGCAACGGACTGAATACGGATTGCTAAACTACAAATGGTCGCTTCCTTTGGTTTAGCACTGACGTCACTTGGACTATCGATGAAAACACCTGACTTCTCCCACTACAATTGTGTCCAAATCGTTATTCCATTGAATTACTGTTTCAATAAAAAATAAAAAAATAAAATAAAAACGAAATAACAAATTCCTAAAATTCAAAAAAGAAAAGAACTTAAAAGATCCAACAATAAAAATAAAAAATCCCCCCTACCTACAGACAAAATCCGTCCCCACAAACCTACATTCAGCCAAGGCCAAGTCTTAAAAATAAACCGACTATTTTTAAAACTTCAAAATAAATTTTTCATTTAAAGAAAAAAAACAAGCCAAAACTGAACTGACAAAACGGAAAATTGTAGTTGAAAAATCAATAAAGGGCGTGTTGGACCGGGTAAGGCCCTCTTTCCCCCTTTCCTTAATATATTGATTCAACCCAAGTCAAATAGGGCGGAGAAAGTTGTGACTCTCCTGCAATCGAAATTGCGCAACGGATTGCATTTCTGGACAAAACAACAACAATAACAAATTGGGGTGGAATAAGTTTTGGAAAATTAACGGCGCCCAGATGGAACGCACTTTACAATTTATGCTATAAATAATACTTGGCTGGGCGACAAACAAAAATTTCCCAGTCAATTCGTCCAAGCAAAATTGACTTTTGGATGTATGTCCTATGTCCAACTATGTGGATATACATAGTAATATGAATCATATGGAAGCATTGAGATCTACTGACAGGGAGACACAAAAAAAGTCAAAATTTTCATTCAAATTGAAAAATTGACTTTTAGATGTATAAAATGCCAATGTCCAATTCACCTATTTATTTGTTCGAATTGGTACGAATAACAGCTATGTGGTTACACATACTAATATGAATCATATTTGGAAGCATTGAGATAGACTGCCAGGGAGACACAAAAAAGTCAAAAAATTCATTCAAATTGAAAAATTGACTTTTAGAAGTTTAATATGTCAATGTCCAACCTGATATAGTTATTTGTTCAAATAACAGCTATGCACATAGTATTACCATATGAATAAAATTTGGAAGCGTTGAGAAAGATTGATAGACACACAAAAAAGTCAAAATTTTCATTCAAATTGAAAAATTTACTTTTAGATGTATAAAATGTCAATGTCCAATTCACCTACTTATTTGTTCGTATTGGTACAAATAACAGTTATGTGGTTACACATAATAAATATGAATCAAATTTGGAATCATTGAGAAAGGCAGACAGACACAAAAAGTCAAAATTTTCATTCAAATTCAAAAATTTACTTTTAGAAGTTTAAAATGTCAATGTCCAACCTGATATATTTATTTTGTTCAAATTGGTTCAAATAACAGCTATGTGTATACACATAGTATTACCATACGAATAAAATTTGGAAACATTGAGAAAGGCTAACAGGCAGACACAAAAAAGTCAAAATTTTCATTCAAATTGAAAAATTTACTTTTTGATGTATAAAATGTCAATGTCCAACTCCACCTATTTATTTGTTCATATTGGTACAAATAACAGTTATGTGGTTACACATAATAAATATTAATCAAATTTGGAATCATTGAGAAAGACAGACAAACACAAAAAAGTCAAAATTTTCATTCAAATTCAAAAATTTACTTTTTGGTGTATAAAATGTCAATGTCCACCTACTTATTTGTTCGTATTGGTACGAATAACAGCTATATGGTTACATATATTAGCATGAATCATATTTGGAAGTGTTGAGAAAGACTGACAGACATACACAAAAAAAACCAAAATTTTCATTCAAATTCAAAAGTCTTTTAGATGTTTAAAAATGTCAGTTTGTTTCTTTCCCAACTTAAACCTAATTATTTGTTCGAATTGGTTACAATAACAGCTAATTGGATATACATAGTAATTTGAATCATATTTGGAATCATTGAGAAAGACTGACAGAGACACCAAAAGTCAACATTTTCATTCAAATTCAAAAATTGACGTTTAGATGTTTCAAATGTCACTGTCCAACTCTACCTGCTTATTTGTTTGAATTGGTACAAATAACAGCTATGTGGATATACATAGTAATATGAATCATATTTGCAAGTGTTGAGATAGACTGATACTCAGACAGTCAAAATTTTCGTTCAAATTCAAATGTACAAAAATTGACTTGTAGATGTATAAAATGTCAATTTGTTTCTTTACTAACTTAAATTATTTGGGGTTATTTGGGCGTTGGTGGCTGCAATGGTTTAGGTGTTGACACGGTGCTCACCACTCTAAGATAAAGATCCCAGGTTCGAATCCAGCGGCCCTGAATTTGAACCGAACATACAATTTTTTTTTTTCCAGAGAACATTAAAAACATTGGCACCCCAGGGGTTCATGTAACCTCGTAGTCTCATAGTTGAAATACCGTCTTTAAAAAAACTAGTTATTTGTTTGAATTGGTATAAATAACAGCATAATCATATTTGGGGGAAAAAAAGACTTTTAGATGTTTACAATGTCAATTTGTTTCTTTACCAATATAAACCTATTTATTTGTTTAAAATGGCACAAATAACAGCTATGTGGATATATATAGTATGTCGAAAATAAAGTATGTATAAATCATATTTGGAAATTTTGAGAAAGAGTAACAGACAGTTAAAAAAAAAAGAAAAAAAAAGATAACATTTGAATTCGTTATTTTATCCAGAGCATTCGGGATAGGGGATAGAGATAAAAGAGGTGGTCACAAGGCCTTTTGCACCTTGACCTGAGTAGGCCTTGTGCTGCCCTAGTTTTATAACACACTGGCTAGCTTGAGTTAATCAACCTCCACAGTCTTGCCAGCGTCTCCTTAGTGGAGGAACTTGTTGCGGCTTTTCCTCTACTAGTAGCAAGAGTCTACAGCTACATAAACCCTCACAAAAGCATTAGACTTGTTCTGCAGTCTCCTCTTCTTCTAAGCAGTATCTGCATAGTGTTTCTTCTGTTTGTGCTCCTGTTGTGTTTCTTAGGCGGCAGTGCCCCTAGTCATAAGCCAGGAGTCCAATACTTCCAACGACCTTCCAGCAATTTCTTAAAGTCTTGCAGATGACCCTTCTCTTTGCATATCTCATGCTGGGGTTTTGGACTCATTAAGTATCCATTTTTGGATGTATTCTTTTTTGTGGCAAGGTGCTAGGCCACAATGGGGTTTGGAGCCTAGAGAAACAATATTGGCTCCTTTTTTGGCCAATATGTCCATTTTCTCATTGCCTCTATGTCCTGGGAACCCATGCCAGGGTCAGGTCATTGTGCCACTGACTTCTGCCAGGGATTCCATGCAAATCCATACACTTCTTGCCTTTACCGCACATGTGGTTACGGCCTTAAATTCCGTCTGACTATCAGAGAAAATGGCTATCCAGACTATACTGGCATCCAGAGTATTAATCAATAATGAACAATTTTAATGAATGCAACAAAACCAATAAACCACCAGTAACTAAATCAACAAAGGGTGTTAATTTTCAACTTCCATCCAATTTTTTGTTTTGTCATTTTCATATTTATGAGTTGTACTACTAGTTTAATAAAAAATTTTTTTTTGCTATTTTACTTGATACTTACTGTTGCCTGTATACCCTTCTGTGAACCATTTTTTTTATCTCACTCACTCTCTCTCCCTTTACATATCTTTTATACATATTTATGTATAATGTTAATAAGCTGCATTGGGCGTTGTGACCTGTGCTGTTGCGAACCCTCGTAAAAAAAAAGAAGGGGGAAAAAAGATATATATAAGCTGCATTACATTGCTGTTTTGTAATGTTTTGTAAGAATTACAGAATATTGTCTAGGATTTCTATTAAAATATTTTTGTTCAGTTTTAAAATGTTTTGTTGTCTTTGTGGTTTTATTTATAATTGTAAAAAATAAATAAGGGAAATTGTGCAATGAACACTTGTAGAAAGTTGGTTATTAATAAACAAAAGAATTTTAAAATATAAAATTATATTTGACAAACGATCAAATAGGTGGTTATAAAATGTAATTAGCTTTTTTAAATAATAAATATATTACACATCAGTTTCATATCTAGCTATACAACAAAACTTAAAAGTAAATTTGGCATCGAAACCGTAAGATATATTTACATTGTACTAATAATCACGTAGAAAATTATGAACTCCAAGAATTAGAGCCTAACAACCCTAAACAAGTACAAATAAATTCGATGTGCAAGTGATTGTGAACGTGAGACAGTCTTTAATAAATATAAATAAGTGACTATGTGTTTTTAATACTGTTCAAAGGAGCCGGCATATTGTTCCCCTATATATTAATAAATGAATTATTATAAAAATGTCTTTGAGACACACAACCATGTTTAAAAGGCCACCGATCCTTATTCGTCTTTTTCAGCCATATCTGCCAAATCTTCGGTTTTATCGGAACCGTTCGTTTTGTGAAGGTTGGGCAGGCTTTTTGTAAAAGATTTGTCTAGTTTATTATAAGCTGAACAACCTTCTTTGTAAGCGAGGCAACGGAATTTATGATCAGATGGTGCAGTATTTCGTCTTTCTGCTGAAGGTGTATCTAATGTCTTCTTACATGATGAACACAGTGTGGTAGAAGATGCCGAGCATCGCCTGTCGGTGTTGTCACTCCAGACGTCACCGCAACTGTCGTCTAAAACTGGTTTCCATCTGACTCCTTTCCACTGGCCTGAACTGCCGCTAGGCCTCCTCAAGCTTTTTGTATCTTTTTTGTCATCTCCTTCGGTCGGTGTCTCAAAAGATGACTCCATCGCACCTGTCATTGAACAAAAACTGTCTATTGTTGAGTTTGATGACCACTGTCTCATTTCAGAAGTGTTGAAAAACTTGTCTTGCTTAGGCATCATCGCCATTTTCTTGAAGAAGTATGGTTTTACTTTAGATTCTTGGCCATCGGGAAAGGAAGGGACACCCTCTTCAATATTTGAAAAACGATCTCCCGTAATACTGCTAACACTCTGCCTGTAAAATAATTAAAATACATTTTTACATAGGTTTGAAATGATAATAAAAAATCCATGATTACTTCATATGAAAAAAAATATAACAGAAAGAATATACAGTGGAGTCCTGATAATCCAAAAGTTCACCTTATCTAAACACTTTTCTATCAGCGAATTGGAAAACTTTTAGACTCCAAAGTATAAGTTTTGCATTTTTCAGTTAAATTTTGATAGTATTACTAGTAAATTATTAAAACCTAGCACAATCCAAACTCTTTTATTTGCAGTAATCTGTAGTTTATGGACCCTGATAATTTTGGTCTGCCAATGTCAGATGCATTTTAGCTTCTTGCAATCTTCAGTTGTGGGTTTTAACAAAATTGGTTTAGACTAGTGGGACTACACTGTATTTAAAATTATTTTAAAAAAATCATAACTTAGTGTTAGCAGATTATTTATCAAATATAAATATTTATAAGAACTGATAATTTATTTTTGTGCATTTTTGATTTATCAAATTGTTTCATATAAAAGAATTACTGCCAAAGAAGTGAAGAATTGAAACAAAATCATCTAGAACAGTGGTTCCCAAACTTTTTTGGCCCATGGACCCCTTTTTGTAGTCAAAAATTGCCCATGGACCCCAAAGTGAAAAAGCCACATAAATGCATAATATAAAAATTACAAATTAAAAAAAAAGTTTTGTTGAAGAAGTATTTTTAAATTCACTATTTTCGTGGTCCGCTTGACCAATTAATTGTAAAGTATTTTTAAAATTATAAATTATACATATATATAATATTAATTACTTTTGTTTAAAATAAAATATAAAAAAATTAATGATTTGGATGAACGTGATGAGATGTTATGACTGTATAATTTCTAATCGGTTTTTGTTTTTTGTGATGAGGTTCATAACGACGCTGAATCCACGTTCTACAAAATAGGAAGACGGAAAAGCAGTCAACCACTTCTGTACAATAACCCATAATGCAGGATATAAAATTGGGATCTGTTTTTGTAACCAGAATTTGTGGTGTCCTTGTTCAAACATTGGTTTAAGTTCCTCATTTGTGAATATTTCAGCTTCTCCTGTATTAGTATGGATTCATCTGTGTTTGGGATCTGAGTTTGTCCACGCGCAAAAGTCGGGAATATCCAAGTGAAGAATGTCTTCAAATCTTTTATTCAGGTCTGTATGAAGAGCCGTTAAGTGTTGACAGCAAGCAAGCAAATCTTCATCTCTAATTTGCAATTTCGAAAGATTTTGAAACTGAGAGCATTCTCCTCTTCCCAAGTTTTGTGAACTAAACTAGTAAAGAAAAAGTTTTGCAACAACCACAGATATTACACTTTTAGTTTTGATTAAATTTAATTGGTCACCTTGTAGTTTCAAATTAGTTTTGTCAAATTTGGCAAATAAATCAGACATATAGGCTATGTCATTTTTTGAGTTAATTAAATTGTGTCGCAAATCATTGCCTTTGGTTTCCAGGAATTCCAACACTGAATCAAAGAGCGCATAAAATCGATTTAAACATGCACTTTTAGATAATCAAAGTACTTCTGGTTTATATTATATTATTATTTATATTATTTTATATCAAACCTTGCGCGGACCCCCTGACGTTGTTCAGAGATCCCCAAATCAATTTTAATTTTCCACGGACCCCCTGAATGATACCGGGGACACCTGGGGGTTCGTAGGGACCACATTGGGAACCATTGATCTAGAAACACTGAAAGTATGATGACGGCTGTATGAAAATTCTGTAGATTTGCATCAAATTTTTCGAACAATCATTGAATAACGGTAACTAATCAAAATTGTGATGTCCGGGTTGAAGGTATTAGTAAAACAATAGTATTATCTAGCGTAAATGGATGACACAATAACATTCAACGTTTTTCAAAATAAATTTAAATTTTATTGAAATATCAAATTTCATCTTTCATAAAGAATAAATTTATTCTGTTTAGAGGCGGACGTTTCGCTATAAAGCCCATTTTTAGCATTCCAAGTGTAGAATTTCAAGATATCACAACCAACAATCAATACAGTTCATGTTAAAGTTATGTTCACTAATTTCGTGGTCCGCTTGACCAATTAATATATTATATTAANACGGGATTCGAAGTGGTAGAGCAGTGGCGTATCAAGCCGAAGATCGTGGGTTCGAATCCCACTCGTGCCATTGACTTTTTTATCTCGACTAAAAACCTTAATTAATTATAATATATTAATTGGTCAAGCGGACCACGAAATTAGTGAATTTAATGATTAAAAATGAAGTATACTTCACTAAAGCTCTCTGTGGCCATTTCATTTGTCATCGAGAATCCAATCCGATTACACGACATTTGAAAAATGGCAAAAAGGAGGGAAAATTCAAAAGGTGCAGTTGAGATGGGAAGTTGGTGTCCAAGTGGATCGAGGTCACGATAGCTCAAGTGGTAGAGCAGCGGCGTATCAAGCCGAAGATCGTGGGTTCGAATCCTGCTCGTGCCATTGACTTTTTTATCTCGACTAAAAACCTTAATTAGTTAAAGTTATGCTTAAAACTATGGGCTGATGCAACAACAGTGTGGGCAACGGAAAATCCCATATCCACGGAAAATGTCAGCCTTATTAAAATTGAGTTGGGCTCCGAGAAGAAAGGAAATGCCAAAAAAAAAGTGGATTGATTAATTTTATTGTTATCTCGATTGAATTTTTATCATTTAGATTTTTTTTTTTTTTCAATGTCGTATTTATCTTCGATTGAAAAATAGTAAAGATATTGCATTGAATGTTTGATTGTTAGTTTTGTACTGAAACATTACTTCTATATTTTGTTAGTTTGACATCATCCCTCATAAGTATATCTGTATGGGTCATATTGTCATCTACTTCTTGGGTGTTGCACGTCGATTTCATGCCTCTCCATGTTAACGTTATTATTTATTGAATGAAATAAAAAGATAACAAAAATAAAAAGATATGTTGGAAAGGACATGGGATTTGGGGGGTAGGACACACGTCTTACCGCCAAATACCTGCTGGTGCATTGGCTGATGGCATATTTAAATTTAGGTAAGAATTCTTTGGAGTTTGCCTCAAAGGAGTCGGTTCATTTTCGTCTTCTTCTGCTATCTCGGGTAAGAACATTGACTGCTGGTCTTCAGGTACCCTAAAATGGCAAATGACAAAATTATGAGACTTCAATTAATAAATAACAATTGAATAAATTATTGTAAATAATAAATAAATGTGCTATGTACACACATTTTGAACGACAGGCTAAAGTGTATTATATACTAGCAATAATTCTAGCACAATTTTTCTGCAAGTACTTCTATTAAGGTTTATACTGTTTGCAATTTGTCTAAGCTCAAGTCGCTTTTGCAAGTAAACACAAATTGACTTTATGACGCAAATTTTTTGCTGATCCATTTCCACGAATATTATATTAGCTGCAATGTTCACTAGTTCAAGATGCTGAGTTATTGCAAATATGTGCAGCTTCTGCTATAGTGTTATTTATTTAGAAATCATGAGATGTGGTCTGATGTGATGTAGGTTTCAGAAAAACATTTTCTTTATCGTGCCAACGTTTCGTTCTTTATTGAGATCATCTTCAGGGCCTGGGAATTACAAACATTGTTTACATATTACAATTATATTTTGGATGTGGAGAAAAATTCACTTTTCCACATGTATGTAGTTGTAATAAAAAAAAAGAAAAGCAGAAAAAAGAAAAACAAAAAAATATGGGTATGCGACTGGATTTTAAAGCGTGATAACCTTGGCCTTCTTAATTGGTTTTTAACTGATTTCAGAACCGAGGGCCCAATTCAACTAAAAAAATTTAAATTGTATTTAATTAATTTTTTTTTGAATTTAGAAATATTATCATTTGTTCACGTATAACTCTTCTTTGCTCTGTCCGCTTTTATGTTTTCATTGTTTTTTAAGTTCTTGTCCATATTGTGTTTTTAAATTATTTAATTTTCTGGCCACTTCTAATTCTATTGTGTGGAATTCAGTTGCTAGAATCTGCAAAGTAGTGTTTTTCTTATTTCTTCTTTATTTTTTAAATCCTTTGATTTTGCATCCATTAATTCAAATAAGCGTCATTATTTTTTCACAACACCACATTTTTTTCTCATTCGTATCGAAAACAGCGAAAGCTTGCAATAAAAACTTCCATCTTTATTGTTATCACACAACATATAAGGTATATATAAACAATAAGGTCAAAATAACTTTGCACATGTGCGACTTGCAGCAACACGAGTGTTTACACGCCAAAAGTTCCTTGCGGAAGTCAACTGTGCAAGATTTATTGCTAGTGGACACCTTGCTTAAGGAAGTAAAAGGCAGAATGTAATATCAAATTATAACATATCTTTGACATCAGTACATAATAAATAGGTGATAATATTCCAAATGTCTATTTTTTTAATTATTTTTTTTTTTAATTTTAGCTTGAAAGGGAAAAAACTTGAGATTGAGAAGTATTGTGAGGATATGAAAACTAGAAAAAGCACTATACACTTTGCATCTACCTATGCAAAAACAAAAATGGAGCACACAGAAATTAAAACATCAGGCATACAAATGTTAATCAAACAATCTTTTGCATTCCTCCTTATTCCAGAAACTGTCTTTTCATTTTTTATCATTTCCGTATTAACTGTTTTTATTTTTTTTTAAATCTCAATAATTTAACCCAATAATGTTTGGTTGTGTAATCTTTGTGATATTGAAACAGTGAACAATTAATGCAATTTGAATGGTGCATGAACATAAATTCAAATCACCAGACCAAAATTGATGCTATAATCACCATTGTCAAAATTTTTGTTCCATCAATTGATTTACTATATGGCTATGGCTCATGAACCTAAATAGAAACATAAGTAGTTTATATTGTTTAAACAATTATAACCCCAATATTTAATGTAACTTACTGCATGTTATGAACAGATCCTCTGTATGTTTTCTTCTTGTAGGCGAAAGCAGCTCCTGTGTAAGGCAGGGTGAGGTTTACTTCGTCGAAGTACTTGTCTTTGACCAAAGGAGGCGATTTCGCCATTAATGTATCAACGCCGAGGTAAGAGACTTTTGTGTGGCGGTCGATGAGCCAGTTGAGCTCGAAATCCTCGTCGTCGTCTCCAAAAGGATTTATAAGTTGTTCTGCAACCTTTTAATATAAATTTTATAAGTTAACATTCTGTTTTTCTTTTTAAATTTCGATAAGGAATCACCTTCAAAAGACCCATGAAAAAGAAGAACTGCAAAATCGTGAAGACTGGAAGATATATATCTATTTCCATTTGAAGCTGTTTCTTTGCTTCCTCCACATACTGCCTTCCGACGAGTGCAGCGAGAAAAAATGAATAAGTTGCAATTGTGACTACCTATACCATATAAAATAATTACGTTAATAATTTATTATAAAAATAAACATTTATGAATTGAACATTTTTGGCTCAAAAAAAGTAAATCTGTAATTTTTTTTTGTTAGTTATAGGGCAGCCCTCTCTTTTTGTGGCTTTTCTTTTCCTGTCATTCACCCATTTCAATTCTATTTATTTAATTTTATTAATTACTTAATACTAATTTCATTAAAAATAATGTGAGACAAACAAAGAAAAAGTTAATCTGCTATTTTATTAGTTTCAAAATGTCCTCCATTGTTTCTAATACAAAATTTTGCTTTTTTTCTCATTGCCTCAATGGTAAATATTTAACTATCTAACTTTTTTTTAAAATGTTTATCTCACTTTCTTTTTTTATCAAAAATAAGAAATTTGTTCTTTTAAAATGTGTTAATTTTTATTCTGAAGAACAGTTTGTTTCTTTACTAATAAATTTTTTGAGAATGCAATTACTAATTATAAATTTACATGCCAACTCTTGGGCAATACATTTATATTCCAGGATATGTCCTGGACCACTTTTTTTTTTTCCAAGGTCCAACTAAAATTGCCCATCAAAATAATCAATGTTTCGAATAGACCGTCGGAAAGCTCATAAAATGTTGAAATTTTTAGTTGGTTTGACGTTTAAAAAAATGTAATGTAAGAGAGTTATGGTTTAAAGAGGTTGATCAAAAATTACCATTTCACAAATTGTATTTTTGTGCAGTTATTTTGTAAGTAGAGTGGTAATTTTTAGAACAAAAATGCACTAATCTAAAATGAAATTTGGTGCTAAAGCTAAAAATGGGGTCAAAAGTTAGTAACAGTTACGTTAGAATGGAGAAAATTCAGGTTTTATGTAGAGAAATATATTTTTCTTAAATAAACACTAAAAAATTGTAACTTTTGAATGGATTGAGTTACTTTTTTTTTTTCTTCGAATATTTATGAACCTGAGATATTCGATAGTGATCTGTACCTACTCTCATGCCCCAAGGTTGTGCAACATATTATGTTGTTTAAAACATTTTTATGAGCATAATTGCTTTTAAACGATTGTAGAATGGAAACGGTATAACCGTCTTAAATCTTAGGGGATTTGATTGGGCTCGTATCAGTTATAAAAATTCAAAAATCACACGAGACTGTTATAAATCATAGAAACATATGAGTAGATAAAAACTCTAATTAATTATTGTATTTTAATCATAGAAATAGTCCAATTTTCTAACTGTGATATAAATAATGCAATTTTCTCCTGTGGTTTAGAGATTGATGAATCTGTAATATGATGATTACTAATCATATTGCCTACCCTCGCTGGTTTGGTCTGTCAGAAGCGTATCAGCATTTTGCTAAATTCAGTGTGTCTTATATGATACTATTACGATATAAATATTGACAGATTTTTCTGTTTGACTTTATAAACTGTGTAATAATTTTTGGTCTTAAATTAATTACTAGCCGACAGTTAATATTTAGACATGCATAAAAAAAGAAACATTTTATCAACTAATTGCAAGGGGGAATACATACCAACCTGTGTATAAACCAGTGGAATTGAAATCCAGTCATAACTCCAGAGCAGGCCACATTTGGATCGAAATTCATTAAATTCCTACGAACAAAATTGACAAAAATAAATTAAACAAAAGGGAAATTTTTTAACATGTTAATTTACAAAACCTATAGATGTTTTGATAATAATAGAGTAGACTAAATATAGCAATATGGGATAGGGCTAAAAATGAACACGGCAAAGAATCAGAAAAGTCACTTTCAAAACTAGATGATCAGTGCTATTTTTACAAAACTAGATTGTAAAAAAAATATATATATTTAAAAAATCACCTCCATTATTAATTTCAGGCCCTGCATATCATTAATCCGGCTGGTCTTCTTTGCATCTTTGAGGAGGCAGATAAACCACGTACAGGGTATCCAATAAGTGTTAAATTCTACATTTGGAACGGCCGAGAAGATCTCCAGCTCGAGGGGCGTCATGAACCCTGGGCAGAAAATTCGTAAGGTAGCTGTCTGTAGAAAATTCATAATATAAATCAGAAAATCCAAAACCTAAAGCCCAATGATATATTTAAAAAATGGAGTTGACTTCAAATTGTCTGTTCCTTCTTTATTATTAGAAAAGAAGAATGATCCAAGTGTAATAGGGCTTTAATAAAATTTACAATAAAAAGTATTTAAATACTCAGAGGAATAATAATAAAAATTGATCGAAAAAAACAACAACTGACAAGTGAAAAATTTTAATAATGAAAAGGAAAACATTACTGAAGAGGTTTAGCAGAAGAAGCTCCCGAAATATCAATAAAAGCTTATCCAAAGACTAATAAATTTCTGATAACATATAAAAACACCAAAATTATAATAAAATATATACCATAATTTAATTTATCGAGAGTAAAAATAAATCCTTACTGGGAAATTTTTAAAAGGGAAGAAAATTTTTAAAAATAGAAATAGAGAGGGAGCTGTCATCATTAATACTTGTCATCTCATGTGAGTTAGATGATGCAAATACTTCAACTTCTGAATAAACCTTTGAAAGACGGTCCAAAATTATTTGATGCTTGAAATATTTACGGATAGATCTGAGGAGAGTCGAATGGCCTTCAAATTGTCAGGAACAGTGTTTATACGTCTACGAATGGCTTTTTAAGTGGTCATTTGCAACGAATTTACTGTTTTAAGATTGCTTTGTGGGATGTTAATGATCTACCAAACCAGAAAATCCCCTTGTTCCCGGGTAAATTCATTCAAGCTGAGAGCTAAATAAAAAAAAAAAAAAAAAATGATGACCCACTTGGCATGTTTTTAATACAACAAAAAGAAAACTAGAACATGTGTTTTTAACCTTTCCAGTTCAATTTCTCTCTTTCTATAAAATTTGAAAAGTCAACCATGCAAATTAAACAAATAAACCGTTATTATATTAAAGAGCAATCAAACAAAAAGTTATCAGATTACGCTTACCAGCTTCAACGAGGTGGTCCATTGTTGGGAATCTCCTTTTGACAGCGGAACTAATCGAGCGAAGTACTAGTACTAGGGAAAGGTTTAAATATCTCATCAGGGTACGCCTTAGGATTCGGCCCTGTTCATCATTACCACCAACATATAATGCCAAGGAATGCATAACTCTAAACAGAAATAAACATTAATTAAATGTTAATTAATCGATTTATTTTGGCAGAAATGTTTGGTTTGAATTATGAAAATAATTACGTGACAAATCTTGAGAAAAAATTCTGTTCAAATGTTTATAAATTTGCAATTTTCATGTCATGTTTCTCTCAGTAGAAACTGCAGTTCAAACATGACATTAAATTTATGAGGAATTATCTTTGACAGGAAATTTACCTTGAAATTTGAGCATATCTATGCATTGCAAAAGCTATGACAATACCTCATCAGTTGCCTTAGTAACACAATTAAACCTACCTCCATTGGAAAAATACACAAAGTTAGGAAAAGCTTGTGCAGACTCCTGAAGCAATTTAATGGGACTTAACATTTTAGGCATACAAGAAACAAATTCTGACTGACTATATGTTCCTGGAAGCAGCATCCTATAAAGTTGTAACAGACTACAAAGAGGAAGAAGAAATCAGAAGAAAATCAAATATTGATATACATACAGATGTCTCCAAAATGAGTGAAGGAACTGGGTCAGTTATACTCAGAATGCAAGCTCAAATTATAAGCAATAAATCTCAGGGAGACCTCATCTCTTAAGCTGAAATACATGAAGTTATATGTGCCATAGAAAATCTTGAAAGTATCATTCACAGCCAACAGCCCTAAAAGCATTAGCACGTAAAAAATGTCATATCCAAAATAGTTGGTGATGTATCCAAATCCTCCAACACATGGTAAAACATTTATTTAGAAATCATGAGATGCAGTCTGGTGTGATGTAGGTTTCAGAAAAACATTTTCTTTATTGTGCCAACGTTTCGATCTTTATTGATCCTTTATTTATCACTTATCACCACACATGGTAAAACCTAACAAACTGTTGGTGTCAATGCATAAAGGAATTTTGGGTATTGGACAAGCTGACAACTGGTCGAGAAGGCTTTGCAAAACCACTTATAGGCCAAGAGAACTTGCGATAACAAAACAAAAGATTTATTCAATTATTAACCTACAACTGCATTAGTTTATGGAATAAGCAGATAGGTTACAAGGAAACAACATAAGTGGTATGCTAAGTGTGAATGTGAGCCACCCATCATTACGCTCTTTTATTTAATGACAAGAACCCGATGGACGTCTTTATATGCAAAGTTGGTTGCAATGCCTCAACCTCCTAGGGAGATTTGTAGGAAGAGAGTGAAAAAGTCGTAGCCGAGGGGGTTGGAATGAAGAGAGAATTTAGTGAGACATTTGAGGTATCGGGATTTGGTAAGGTCAGTAGCATAAGGAATTTGGAGGTCCGAGTGGAGAGTATGGTTACGAAGAAAGGAGTAATAGGAGGTAGAAGATGTAAATTTTATTTAATTTTTATTAATAGTAAGTCTTTAATACATAACTAGCAGTCTTTTGTATGTCTTGTATCTGGAGCTGAAAATGAAACATAAAAAGTAGACAGGGTATAAATCAGAGGAATGACAGGGTTATATATTGATCACTGGCATCTGACAAAACACCTAAACAAAAGAATGACCTCATTTGTAGGTTATGCTATTAGGAGGAAGACACTGCAACGCATATTATCTTTGAATGTGAATCAACTACTCAATGAAGGCATAAGGTGGTACCAAGATGACACAGGAAAACTAATTGCAGGTATGACAATCGATGACTTTCTACTTCACCAAAGAAGGTACGGGTCAATTGAACTGAACTAAGGATCTAGTAAAAGTATAATAGTCCAGAAGATTTGGGGTTTATCAAATCTCGTATTCGTAGAATATGAGTATTCTCGTTATCATCATTAGAAACAGAAACAATTTAAAAGAAACGGAAATACCTGGGAATTTTTGACTTGTTAGGATATAAAAGATCTGCTTGCACCGAATAAACGCCGTATAAATTTACAAGATACAATTCCGCATGACTTAACGGCTTTGATGGTTTAATAGAAAAGTAAAAGAAATTGGAAAATAACTGTAGGTATTTTTTAAAAATAAACTTTGGAGAATATTTATTTAGAAATCGTGAGATACTGTCTGGTGTGATGTAGGTTTCAGAAAAACATTTTATTTATCGTGCCAACGTTTCGATCTTTATTGAGATCATCTTCAGGGCCTGGGATTTACAAACATTGTTTACATATAACCATTACATTTTGGATGTGGAAAATTAACCATTACCAACACATTTTTTTCCATTCGTCGGCTCTTTTCACCTCAAAGAAGTCGATGCCTTATACAAAAATGTCTTTTCTATACCGACATCCTTCCCCACCCCTTCAAAATCCAACGTATATAAACACAAAATAGCAAAATCTCACTGGCACTCTCGACACGACACGCAAGAATGGCACAATTACACAGAAGACAAACACTTTGCGTGAGTAGAAATACTTTGATTGTATATATAAAATATATTTTGCATTGTATAAATTCACTTTTTTCCACATCCTACATGTATTTGTTAAATGTAAACAATGTTTGTAAATCCCAGGCTCTGAAGATGATCGCAATAAAGATCGAAACGTTGGCACGATAAAGAAAATGTTTTTCTGAAACCTACATCACACCAGACCGCATCTCACGATTTCTAAATAAATATCGATTAACGGTCACTAATCACCACACATTTGGAGAATATTATGATCTTTTTTAAAAGCCAATTTTGGCCGATAAATTCGTCAAATAATTTTTGTCTAAGAGTATGTTTTATGATGCTTGTCTTGTATAAAAATATTGCATATATCGTCAATCTGTTAATACATTTTTTTATAGGAAGAACATTTAAAATTTTTCTATCTGTTCTAGTTTATTTTTTAATTAGGTTAATTAATTTTGTTTTCATTAGAAACAAACAAATCTGTTTAGTCAATAAATTATTATTGATTGTCGAAACATCGCCCGATTTCTTAGTAGTGTAAAAATAGTTGAAAACAGCAACTACAGTTAAAACGTGTTATTTAATAAATAGTGTAGCTGCTAATTGGCATTGTTCCGATAAAAACAAAGTTTTGACCATGTATTCAAGGCTTGAATCGCCTCGTGGCTTCATGGAAAACGGAAGATTCACCGATTCCGCCGATGAAAACCTGACTGATTAGTAGGCCATTTGGTCCATTTCCCCCCCGTTCCACAAATGTATCTATTTTAGAACTTTTCAAAGGTTGCTGAACTACTCCGGTAAAAAGAAAACAAAAATGCAAGAAAAAAAGATAATAGATTGAAGTGTAGAAGTTCATTCGGCGATAATGGACTGCTTCTGGTTTTTTGGGGGGGAAGTGAAAGATTTAAATTTGGACTGGTCTTCTTGTAAATAGCCGAGATGAAAGTTTTAGCGATTGTTATAATTAACTATCCTTCTTTCTAAATATAAGCGGGCTGTTCACCTTGGTCAAGGTAAGGAAGATGCACTACTTCTTAAACATTGACAAAAAAATCTCATCCTCATCACAAATAAACTTCGTCAAAATTTAATAAGGACATGATTATTTCACCTCATACTTAGATAATAGTTTCATAACAACTAAGTTTGTCTGAATACAATCTAAATGAAGATTTTCATATACATCTGGATTACAAAAACTTTGTAAGCCTTTCCAACTTTTTATTTTTTTTTATGTAGATGCATTTTGAGGCTCTTTCCGCCTCCTCCTCAGTACAGTTTTATTTCGTCAACGGACGACAAAATAAAAATGTACTGAGGAGGAGGAGGAAAGAATTTCAAAATGAATCTAATTTGTAAAAAAATAAAAAATAAAAAGTTGGAAAAGCTTACGAAGTTTTTATACTCCAGATCAAACAGAACAAAAAACAAGACATTTTCATATATATCTTTAGCTATAAAAATAATTAAGTATTCTCCGAGACCTTAACAGGAAGGTAAAACACATCAAAGTTTTTTTGATCAAAAATAAATAATAAGATTATTTGACACTATATTATAATAGTTAATTCATAAACAACTTTTGTCGTTTGTACACGCCAAACGATTTTTTATGAAGCTACAATTGCACAAATCTCAGTATCTAGTAACAAATTAAACATATGTTTAATAAAATATATAAACCCATAGCTTACTTGTCTGGCCAGGGGATAGCCATAAATTGCTGCCACCATCTTCCCGCTACGTAGGCAACATAAAAACCCAAAACGAACGAAAGAGGAATAAGATTTATAAATGTATCACAGTAAATCACTACCTTCTCGAACAATCTGAAACATAAAAATTTCATTTTTTGATTAACAGACATCGCAATGATAATATCATTGACAAATTATATTTAAAAACTCCATGCTTCACATATTCTAACATTGTAACACGTTAATTCCAAATGAATTTATTGAAACGTATTAACGTTCTATGCAAGATAAGTATTGTTTATATTGTAAACCGGTATTGATCAGGAATAAGAAAAAAAGTTTCTTATTTCTGAGCAATAAAAAAGAGACTTTTGTAACTTTGGACCAGTTTATTATCACTTTTTGTTGTTTGATTCGTGTTGAACCGAGTTGAGTTTACTTATTTTCGCAACGGTTATTCTTCATGCGAGTTACCCATCGGGCGAGGCTAAGTTGGCTGTTTACTTGTTGGGACTTTCAAACTTCAGTTACCATAAATCTAGGGAAGGGGTGGTTTAAGCCGTCCGAGTCGTATTTGCAACGCCAGAGGTTCTGTGTTCGAGAGTTTTATTTAAGAATAATTTGGAAAAAATAAAGTGGTAAAATCCATTGGGTAGTTTGACGTTAAGCTCCCTTCCCATCACGTTAAGCATGTCGCACTGCGTCCACTAAAAAGGGAATGCTTGGATTTCTCCAAGTATGGGTATAGCCTTGCTAGTGGCTCAGTGGCTCTTCAGTTATATTTGCTTAAAAATCTTGTCATTGTCATGCATTCTCAGTAGCATGTAATATGAACCAAAGTTTCTTCTTTTTTTGGCAAACCATACACAGGCTGTTTTCTGCCACTAGCATTATTAAGAGGATAAGTTACTTGAGTTTACTAATTTAGGTTGAGTTCAACAATTGGCATTACTCCTTGGGCGTGGCTAATTTGGTTAACATTACTCATTGGGTGTGGTTAAGTTGGTAGAGTTTATTACTTGGGTTGAGTTCACCAAATGGGCAAGGCTGGTGCGGCTTAATTATCATTCTCATATCGCATGGCTAAGTTGGTTGGCATTACTCGCTGGGCGTGGCTAAGTTGGATGATTTTATTAATTGTATGAGATTACGAGTTGATTGTGGCTAAGTTGGTTGAGTTCAGTACTTGGGGTTGAGTTTACCGACTGAGAACAATTATGTTCATTATCATTCTCGCAGGGCGTTGCTTAGTAAGTTGAATTTAACAGCTGGTTAAGTTGGCAAGGTGGTTAATATTATTCGCTGGGCGTGGCTTAGTTAGTTGAGTATATAGATTGCGGTTGAGTTCACAATTTGGGCATAGCTCAATTACTCAATATAACCCATTGGGTGCTGATAAGTTGGTTGAGTTCACAAATTGGGCATGGCTAAGTTGCTTAACGTTATTTAGTGAGCGTGGATAAGTTGGTTGAGATTTACTAAAATAGTTGGGCGTGGCTAAGAAGGTTCATATTATTCCTTGGGCGTGGCTTAGAGTTGGTTGTGTTTAGTAAATAGTTGAGTTTGCTAAGGTGTTTAAGAGTACTCGCTGCGCGTGACTAAGTTGGTTAAGATCACAAATTGGACATGGTTAATTGTTTAACATTACTTTCAGTGAGAGTGGATAAGTTGGCTCGGTTTTTTCTAAATAGTTGGGCGTGGCTAAGCAGGTTAACATTATTCCTTGGGCGTGGCTTAGAGTTGGTTGTGTTTAGTAACTAGTTGGGTTTGCTAAGGTGTTTAAGAGTACTCGCTGCGCGTGACTAAGTTGGTTAAGTTCACAAATTGGACATGGTTAAGTTGTTTAACATTACTTTTAGTGAGATTGGATAAGTTGGCTCGGTTTTTTCTAAATAGTTGGGCGTGGCTAAATAGGTTAACATTATTCCTTGGGCGTGGCTTAGTCGGTTGTGTTTATTAACTAGTTCACGAATAAGCTATGGTCTCTAGATGCTGTCCTTATGTAAAAAGCCAATTATACTCGTTTTTGTCAGACTAGTTCCTGCTTAAAATTGCCTTCAGTTGGTAATTTGTACAACTTGGTCCTTTATGTAAATTAAATAAAAAATTAAACGTTTTGCTTTTTATTTTAGAACCTTTATTTTTCTCTGGTAAAATTATACTCTACTATGATTTTCTTTAGGTTTGTGTATTTTTAACGTCGTCGAAAAATGATTATAAAGTAAATTTAGCGTTGTATTTTACAATTAATTAGGGTCTACTGATCCAGCTTATCTTTCGTGTCTGTGTGCGTTTCGAAATAATTTTTCCTCGTTTTCTTACAAATCCAACAGTAGGATAAGTTGGAGCTTTTTCAATTCTTTTTTACTTTAATAACTGAATACAGAGCAATTTAATCAATTCTCGGTAGAATTAAAGAGAAGACGACTCTATAAAGTTAATAATTCACGCTCGTGAAAATTTTAGTTTATCTTGTTATTAACTTTTTTTGGCTAAGTACTCTTTGATGTTTTGGGTCGTTATCACTTGAAAAACGGACCACGTCCCAATTGGGTCCAGCCCAGATCGTATAGCAAACAGGGTGTGAAGGGTGCCAAGATAGTTTTTACATTATCCCCTTTTTCTATACGCATTCGTGCAAGGTCTCCAATTCAATGTCCTGAAAAATATCTTACATAATTTATTGTCTTCTTAAAGTTCGATCGGGAATACATGATTTTTCTGACGTGTTTTTTTCCCTTGAACGTGGTAATCTTGAATATATATTTTGTTATGACAATTCATACGTGATTTCGGATTAATTACACCTCAGCAATGTTCTCAGCTAGACGTCTTGACGCATATTAGAAAGACAATCATTTTCCAGCCTTGCATTTAATTTCCAATACATTGGAAGAAGGTTTGATATTCATTTTCCACAATTTGGAAAAAGGATGAAAAAACTAGAATGAGGTAGATACTTGTGATGATGATACTTTAAATATTTCAATTAATTTATGTTATGATCTTTATCACATAGTAAAAATTCTTCGTTTTTGTTGTAAATTGCATCTTTTGTGCCTTGCAGTTATTGTGTCAAATCAATGATTTGAAGTCTTTCTTGTTTTGTGAGCTTTGTTTACAAGTTATCGAGTAAGTCCATTTGTCAACTTACAACCATAAACATACGGGTTGTTGTCGAACAACTGGCCACACAACGATGAAAGTGAACACAAATTTTTAGATGTGAATGCCAAACGTTTGGTTAGGTTTACTCGATTTAAACATAAATATCATGTTTACGTTTAGATCACGAAAAATGCAGGGAAAGTGAGAGTGGGGTGTTTGAGAGACTTTTTCAAAATTTATTAATTATTCTAAGGTCTAAAAATTATTCGATAGGACTCTGTTGTATTTTGTTTGATCGATTGGCACCCTCACTAGATTGTACGCAGTAATGCCAAAAAATACATTACGTCAGTGATGACTTCATACCTGGTGGATAACCCAAACAAAGTTTAAAATTTCTGTCAAATTCCCAGATAATATTTGTATTTGTGTCTATTTGTAACAGGTGTCGTTAACGAGGTCAAACTGATGTGGGTGAATGTCTACCGAAAATAGTCCTGTTCTTATTCCCCTCCGCCGTTTGTCCCGCGTGCTTAGATTAAATACCAATTGTAAATGGAATAAAAGTGCAGTATCCCGGAGGATATTCTCAGAATATCAACTGTGCACATAAAGGGAGCTAGAGTGGTCCGTAAGGGACTTACTCTGCCAACATCGGATGACTCACCTGGTCGAACAGAACGAGGACCACTGCCAACTATGTTCGCACGTCCAAGCGTTTGCCGATTCTTTACACATTTACAATAATATGGCCTATTTATTATCGTTTGTACTATGTGAAGGTGAGACAAACTATATGATCTAATACATAATTATGTATTTATTCTTAGCTGCTGCATTCTTTTCAAGTATTAATAAACTCAGAAACACATCTGGCTAAACCTCAACATAGCTCGTCTCAAAATTAATATCAGAAATCCGTTCATAAATTAAAAACTTACAATACTAATGTTAAAAGGCTTTTTCACAAAGTTCTGTCAGCCAGTATTAATTTGTTTATATTATAGAGAAAATCAAAGGGGAGAAAATAAATTTTATTTACAAATAATTAACATTTTTAAGTAAGGCTTTGGTTGAAATGAAAAAGTTAATGTCACGAGTAGGATTCGAACCCACGACCTTCGGCTCAATACGCCGCTGCTCTAACCACTTGAGCTATCGTGACTCCACTATGACACCAACTCCCCAACCTAGAACCTTTCGAATTTTCCCTCCTTTTTGCCATTTTTCAAATGCCGTGAAATCAGGATTCGATCCTCGGCGACATGAAGTGGCCACGGGGAGCTGTTAGTGAAGGTACTTCGTTTTACTTGTTAAATCCATTATATTAAGTTACGATAGAGGTTAGAGCAGCGGCGTGAGCCGAAAGCCGTGGGTTCGAATCACGCTCGTAACACTAACTTTTTCATTTCAACCAAAACCTTACATAAAAATCTTAATTAATTGAAAGAAGTAATTTGGCCAATAGACCACTAAATATAATGGACTTATTTAGAAACATAAATGAACAGATGTTGAAAGGAAGACAGATCGATGGACAAACAGGCAAGAAAATAATAAAGACACAAACTGGCAGACAGAAAAATGGAAAGTATAATAATTGGGACTATTAAGAAAAAACTAAAAGTATCACTAATCTTAAACTGTTGAACTTACGTTTATAAATTAAAATTAAAAAAAAGCAATAATTTGTTCGGTTGAATCGATGATTTAACGGATAAACTTGGGAAAACTTTTACAAATGTATTTATGATTTTGAATCTTTCATTAATGGTAAGTTTCATTTTGTTGATTGCCATATTGAAATTAATAAACGAACTCCCAGGCGGGTTAGAATAGCGGGCCTCGGCCAAACCAGGTGCTTCTGAACAGCAACAAAGCCAAAAATAAAAACGAGACAGTACCGGACAAATTTTGGCTTTTAAAACGCTTTATTATCTTCTCCAGGGAAAATTTATGTTACACTTTTTTGATTTAGAAACGAATAAGAATCTTTGTAAGAGAGCCGTTAAGTTTAACTTTTT